CTAGGTCCTCTGCATGAAAGCGAATGTTCACAGAATTGAACCTGTTCCTGTTCTGCGCGGCTGATCCATCTAAAAGGTAATGCATGTTTAGCATCTGAAACGAGACTTTTCACTTCTGGTAAAAGGTACAGTAGAAATTATGCACCGCAATAGTGCTATGTTTCACCGCGTCTGACCCCGCGCAAAAGAGTTTGTGTGTAATCTTTCCAGGTTGTGGTCAACGTACCACGAAAGGATGCAGCATGCGTTGCGGTGCATTCCAACGAATCTGCTGGGCTTTGCCTTGAACGACGAAAGTGTAGCTTTCTGAAGTCTAAAATATTCAGTGCTTCGTTTCCTTGCGGTCGCGTTAAGGGTCATCTAAAAATTTATCCTGGTGCTGGGCCGTAAAGTGATGTCTGATAACTGCAACGGTGGCTTCTGACAACTTGGTCAAAAACTCATCCAGTAGTAGAACACGTTCAGTTTAAGTACGGCATTCAGTGTTCACCCTCTACCTATATATGATTTACTGACGGAATCCAAAACGCTCTCTAATGCGTATTGAAAGTCGTAATAAAAAACGACCGCACACCATCCTAAACGCGGACAGTTCTCTCATTCCTGCGTCATGCGGGATTCCTTGCGGACATCACACACGGCGTGACTCAGTAGATCCTTTTAAGTGACTTCTCGCATGTCGAGAGATCCGATCATCAGCTTCGACACACCCGTTGGTTGGAATTCATCAGCATCACTGCACCCATTGGAAAAGGCAAAGCAAATTAGATATATTATTTCGTAAGTTGTTCAGTGCATTTGCGAGGACCATTATTCACTTAGATAAGACAGCAGGAGTAGCTTTATTCCTAGGAGAAAAACTAGGAGAATGGAAATATAGATGGGTTGACATTTCGGCACCATCCCTTTATCGAGACTATGGCAGAAGTAAATTCAAAGTTGTCTCCCGATAACCCTACTTGGTTTCTTCGAGGAATAAGTCTATTACTACTGTCTTATCTAAATATAATATATTCATAGTAGTGAGCCGGGAGTCGAATAAGCTTTATCCCGCAGGAGTCGCCGCTTCAAACCGAACTGTTAAGCTATTCGAAAGAATTTCGAAAAAACTGACATCACCTATCAAATCGGGCGTGTCTGATGTGAACTAGTGAGTAAAAAAGGTGTCCTACTCCCTTTAAACCTCGTCACGCACTCGTTCGGTGCTTCCCAAATGGATCGGCACAAAGGGGTTGTTATTTCATTGTTGCAAGACACTGTCAAGATAACCACGCCCTCCACCCGCACAACAGGCACTGGCCCAAGGCTCTATCACGGGGCCTTTGCCTGACTAAGTCGCCCCATAGGAGCAAGAGACCAGACCACCTTCACGGTACGCTCTCATCCCCCCCCCCTCCCTCCTCTGCTCCAATTACCTCGGCCCGGACAGTACACATGAGGGTGGGGAGAGGGTGCAGAGGTGGTGAGGGGGGGGGGGGCGTTTGCGGCGGTGCGCCGCGCGCCCAATCTTCGTGCGCTGCACATGATTCGTCGGGAGTGTGGACCATGTCTTTCTAAACAGATAATCACCTTTTTGTTTTCTGGGCCTGGCGAATAAACTGCACTCTTTCGCATGCAAATAAGTAAAGGATCAATATCATAGTGTAATTGTTCTTCGTGCCTTGCAAAAGATCACAATGCCCTGATTATTATTTGTTGTGGAATGACGTTTTCAAGAGAGGCATACAAATATTCAGGACAATTTTTAATCATTTCAACGTAAAGGTTTGTCACCTTATCTCTCAAACAAATGGAAACATTGCCGCCGAAGGTAGCTCCACGACCACGGAGCTCCAAATTGCCGACGGCTATAACTCAGAAACGGAGTAACGGAAAGATTAAAAAATGTCACCAGCGACTCCAGCGCTGATGACAACTCCAATCACCCGATTCAATCGAAATCCAAGAGATGAGGATATAAGGCACTTGTCGATTTGTCCTGGAATGCCCCACCTACCGACAGACAACAAAATCTGCCATAATCAACGGACATCAACACATAAACCCTAGTACTCGAGCAATCCGCCAGGTGGCAGGACCACGTTGTGCACGTACGGCTTCTAACGAAAAGTGCGTCAATGATAAACACTACAAGGCGTTAAGCTCGTAACTTTGTTGGGGATGTTTGGTGATCGGTCTTTTCTTTCTCGCTAACTTGAAATTGGAAGTCGCAAACCTTCTGCTGCATATCTTGACTGCAAAAAAGCACGAAATTTAAATAGAGAGCATACTCAGCAACCTAGGAAAATGAAGCGCATAAAATTGGATACACAAAAGGGTAGATATGTCGGGCATTGACCGTCCAAATTCGTCGACCACATGCGGCTGGTACTATGTGCGGCTAATGTGCCAGCGAAAACTGTTATCCTATAGATCTTGCAATTATGTGCGTATTTTTTTAGTCATGGCTGTACCCAACCAAGCGTTTCAAGGACTACGCACAGTTTTACTGCGTCGAAGATACCTTTTTAGTTTCACTGTCCTAAAATAGTTTACGTTCAGAACTGCTACGGCGGGAGTATGCCGACAATTATGTCCAATTATCAGCCCTCCATGTCCGCGAGTAGGTGAAACACCATGAGTGAGGAAAGTGCTGGCACCCGTAAAGCATATGTAGGGTTTTCGGCAATAGGGCGGGGTCCTTTGAGCTCATAAGAAACCCTATACATTGGAACAACTCGAAACCATGGGGGCCGAATGGTTATGACTCGACACTGAAATCAGGATAACGAACACATGTTTATGCTGCAGTTGAAGAGAAACCTTGCGCAGATGTTAACCAATGAATGACACCAAAGGACAGAAACCAGTCATTGTGTTTAAGATCGGCTTCAAATTTCGGTTATGGATTGATTCATTATTTTTTGTCTTGGTGCAATCTCGGTTGGTTTAAAGAAGCTCTCTCCGAAAAGCAATGTTAAATTCCGAATTTAGGGTGTTTGCATGCCGCTGCAAAGCATGCTCATTCAAAGGCGTGCTATGTCTACATAAGCGGACGTCTCCAAGATATTCATTGAACAGATATCTGACTGGTCTGTTGCTCTCACCTGCATGAACTTAACTCGCTCCTTCGTTTTGCAAAACCTGCATGTGATTTGTTCACTACGTTATTGAAAAGGTAAACCAAGCTCATAAACCACAGTTACAGGTATGGCAGCGCTGACGGCCCTATGGGCAAAATGGTTTTGTTAACGCTGTCTGGACCAGGCTTTGCCCCAGGGTGGGCCCACCGACCCGCTCTTAAGTGCTTTGGCCCTCCTGATTATTCCGCTTGCCCGCCAAGCTACTGTATCATTGATATATGGTCGGCGCACATTTACCAGTTGGTCAGGTTTGTATCTGTTTTTTGGCGGGATATTGGTATGTGACGGTAGTGCGATTAAAGGGAAGGTTCCACATCTGAATATAATGAGGTAGGCATCAGACATGATGGGAAAAGCTTGCTTGTAACTACCGGTAAGCTTTCAAGGTTCAAAAACAACGCAAAGTAGCAACATTTCAAAGCTTGTAAAAGTGCGCCCTATCACGTCGTCGTTTGATGGCGCCATGGAATCGTTTTGTGACGCCAGCAAAACCTGGCAGCCTCTGGCAGTCGGACCTAAAGAATGCCTCGAGACACACGAAAGCTGGCGCCAGCTGGCCATTCTCATCGCGGGGGCTGTGTCGGGCGGCGGAGTAGTGGGTGGTTTGCGTTGGATTTTTGTCTTGGTGCTGGCCGTAAGAAAAGCTTTGGTGGACTGTCTGACATACGCAACGTAGTGATCGCCAGCTTTTATGACAGATTATTTATATCAAAGCACGATATGCTGTGCTGTTGCTGTTGCTGCTATGTTGTTGGTGATGATTTTGTCAATACTGTATTGTCATCCAATCCTTGCCTGCAGTGCTGTAGTCCTGTAGATCTCCAAATAAACCTTTTTGCACTTTTGCGGGCGTGTAACTTAGGAACTAGAGCGTTTTGGGTCTAAAAAAAGAACATGACCGTGAACTGTATCAAACGATCCTCAAGATGGCTATTTCAGTTCAAAACGCCATACAAATGTGGAACATTCCCTGTTAAGTGCTCTGGATAATATTTTTTGTTGAATAAACCCACTATGCGTCTGAGGTCGCGGCCAACGGCCGACTTGTCTGACGAGAACTTAACTGTGCGTGCACAGCTGAGCCGCACTTGCGCAGCTGATCTCCACGGGCACAGCTAAACTGCACGTGCACAGCTGAACTGCACGTGCCATCTGTGAATGACGAACAGCTCTTGTCATGCCCATAGGATGGCTGACTTGAGCTGGGGATGATGGGAGGTCTTATCGGTTTGAATAAAATATCGATAGTGTACTCCCACGAGGGGTGCTAAGGTATCACAGCATGAATAAATGATTTGCGTATTGTTCCATACGCATGTTTCTTGTTTAGTCTCTTAGCGGAATTGTAAGAATTTGTAATATTCAAGAAATGTGCTAGCTTGTTCAGGCTATCTGTGCATACTCCAAAAATATCGTCGATACAACGAATGTGTAAGCCAGACAAAAACCTCAGATTCACGTAGATATAGTAGGTTCACGTAGATACACGTAGCTATAGCTACGTGTGACGCTTCCCGTACCCATACCCGTGACAATTTCGGAAATTTGTGGGTTAATGTTTGGAACAAAACGTACATCATTGGTGGCCAGCACGTGGGTTAAGAGGGTGCATATGTTATTGACTGTTGTGCCAAAGAAATTAATACTTGGCAAGATCGTCCCAAGTAAGTTCGCTATCGCCTCACTAGCCTCCTGAATAGGGATGCTTCCACAAACGTTTCAGAGCGCGCACAAACGCCTAGCGTGACTACACACGGTTTGTCAACCCGAATGCATTGTTTTGCTCCTGAACTGCTGCCCCGGAACTTCTGATTTGCCCTGGAACCTCTTTTTCTGTTATTTGCATGCGTATCGTTTATTATCAAGACATGCCGAAAGATGGTACCTACTCATGAACCGTTCACGTTGCAGAACTTAATGCAGAAAGAATGCATGGGTGATGGCGTGTGGTTCGTCCATCCGGAGCACAACCGCACGTGGACCAACTACACTGCGTGCGACCAGGCGCCACCCTCACATGCCGTCATTCCGCGAGAACACCTCTCAATGCTCAACTACACCGACAGCGTGCTGATCCAGGTGAGAGCGGGGGGGGGGGGGGTGGAATAGGGTCCAATTTGGGGCGGCTAGCACTGCCGTAGGGTACGGCTGCCGAGGCACCCAACCCCTCGGCGCCCCACGCCAGCGACCGCCAACGGCCGGCTGCTACGTGTCGGTCGTCGGCAGCGGCAGCGGGAGCACCCCGGGGGCGCATGCGCAGTTCCGGTGCAGTAGCGTGAAATGCAGCCAACCGACGCCGAAACCAGCGATAAACAGCGGCGTCAGTTGGCGCGTGCACGCCCAGCATCACGTTGCGGTGCTATTGATCCATGTTTTGTGTGGACGGAAATATCAGGGGATGGTCGAACAGTGAGAGGACAACTAGGACTTCCACGCGCCCGTGCATTGTTGACGCCACGAATGCCACTACAGAATGTGACGGCAATAAACCGATCCATAAGTATGACAGCCAGGAAGTGTATGCTTGGCCGCTGTCAGTTTGTGACTGCCAATGGCAACCGCCATGAAAGGCTTAGGTTTGATTATGCCAAATACCTGAAACGAAATTATACCACAAAAACGGGAATTATACCAAACAAAATATGCCCAAAGTGAACGACGGAAAAGACGGCGGAAGCTGCTCGTGCTGGCCGCGATCGGGTGGCCGATACCGACAAGACCGAAGTGGTCACTCTTACAGGCTATTTGTTTGCCACAAGCCAACAAACAGCTCGAGGATATGTACAATGACCTGTGAGATACCGTCCGTCATAGTACCGCCTTGAGAACGACAGCATGGCCGACCCAGCGACTTCCATCCCATGAAAGGTCCGAATGCACCGCCAGGAAGCGTCGCGATTTCTGCCGCACATCCGCATATAAGCGCCTATCTCCGGCGCACACAGCACTGAGCGCATCTCTAGCGCTCATCTCTAGCGCACACAGCGCGATAAATACGTTGAGGACAGCAATAGTAAAATTGCGTCTTCACCACAATGCTGCACGTGCCTCCCAGCATGACTGGTTCGGCACCGCCGTGACCAAACAAATGCGCTCCAGATATACGAGAGGATGTTATTTTCTAGGCGGCTTTACCGCCAGCAGCAGCCAGGGTCTCTGATGAACAACTACGTTCGAATGGGAGACGATCTTAAGTGCCGGCGGCGCAGTGTGTCTGATATCCCTCGGTTGTTGAGTCAATGAAACCCATGTTACTTGTGCATCGCTGAAGTCAAATTTCTCACCTCAAACTTTGGTAATGTTGCATTTTCCAGACAACCTAAAGATGCTCCTCGAGATTCCTTTATTTCCATGTTAAAGACACGCAGCCCGTTAATATTCCAGTTGATATTTTATTTGAAATATTTTGATATTCCCATGCTTCTAATATTCGTACGGTGTACTCCCAGCAAGTATTTCGCATCAAAAGTATAAGGTGGCACTGGCCTCAGCACTTTCTGCTAGAACCATAAACATTGCAACACGTGGGTCATACCACGTTTTTTGACTCATAACGATTTAGAATGCATGTTCAAGTTACTGCTTTCGCTTTTAGCCACTCAATGTGAGGTCAGCGCTTTGCAAATTTGTGCTGGGTCCGTCATACTCAAGTTAAAGATGGCTACTCATTTGAGTCGTTTTGTCGTGCTTGACCTCGATGGCATTTAGGAGCCATTTATTCAGAATGGAAGAATCCGTCAGCTTCTGGAAAAATTAACCGCGCGCCATGTACATATATGCGCACTCTGACAAGCAATCCACGATATGAAGGGGAAGGTAGTATTAGTACACTCTCAGCTAGTGTTCTCAGGAATCAGTGACATCTGGCGAATGCCGAATGTGGAACTGGCCGAAATGTCGTTTGCGTACTAACACACTAGACGAAGACAATGGTCCGTGCAATTATTTATCTGTGGAACCTGGGCATGTGCTGACTGCTCACAATGGCCCGGGCCCCAGGTGTGGACACCGGTCATCAAGCACATCAGCCGGGTGGGGTACAGCATCTCGCTGACCGCCCTCCTCGTCGCCATGGCGATCTTCTGCAGCATCAGGTGAGCGCTGCTGCCCACCGCCAGCCAGGGTTCACCGGGCGCTCCTTGGCAAATGGAATGTCTCAGTGAAACTATTCGTGACTTTTGAACGCGGAATGTTGGTGCTTCGCTGCTGATAGCCTTAGCGATGTTTCTAAGCAATGTTTAGGTTCCCGTTGTTATGAATGTCCGACCCGCACCATATTTAACCCCTCTTATGATAATCACCTGATGTTCAAATAAGCGATGTTGCTATTGCTCGCGGGGACTGTCGCCTTCAACATCTTGCGGCTGCTTTCCTCAAATTGCCCTTATCCTCATCAAAAGGGCGTTCAAACGTTCCAAATAAATGGTCGAAATGAAAGACGTTGAGTCCTGACGCGGTGATTTGTGATGACAAACTTTTATATCGAAATGGGCATTATCAGATCACCTTGCCCTGGGGCCCCGCCAGCATGGCTCACTAACTGAAAATTGCAACGCGGTCTGTATTGTGTTTGTGATCCTGGTCAATGGTCTGTGATCAATGGTCTGTGTCTGTATGTGATCAATGGTCTGTGTCTGCATGTGATCTTGAGTTCCTGCAGATGTACAATACATTATTTCTGACCACAGGAAAGTATCATTCGGGTCATATTGACCCGGTTAGCTCTTTATTTTGTCATCCCGGGCGGTATATAAATTGAACTAACTTGACCTCAGATAAACTCTGTTTCCTTTTATTGTATCACTGTATATCATTTTATATTATTTTTGGTCAGCCTAAATTTATATTCTTGTCACTAACACATCAAACGTGCGTGATGGTCAAAATCATTATTCGATTCTGTTACATTGTCCCAATCATTTAGCGAGACAGAAGTTGATAGTTGTAATAGTTTTGAGCATGGTGGGCTCCGATAGCTAACGACATAATGCTCACAGCGGTAGGACAACGCACCTGACTTATCCAGGCGCTTTACTGCGAAAAATGGCGCGGGTTCAAAACGATCACGACTTCCCTCCCATCCGCGTGCCTAAGCCAACGAAAACTTCAACGCTCATTGGCGGAGTTTTGTTTCAAAAGCGAGAAGTGCGCCCCGTCCAGAATATTTTCTGCATTTTCTTTGCTCTAATTTGCTGTTCATCAGCATACACGAGTACGTCTTTTGACCCCTGAGAAGTTGAGCCTACATTTTCCTTCCAGCCTGTTGGGTTTGCGTTGATCGGAGGCATTAGGCTTCGGGGTTCAGGTATCAGTAAAGCGACAGTCCGTCCGTCGACAATCGTTAACGCCTTCAGCCCGTCGCCACGACAGGCCTAATCCAATCCGACTGGCGCGGCTCATACGACAGGTGACTGTGTGTGTCATGATTGCGCTCTCGGAGAAGATTGTGGTCACTGCTTTGCATCGAACAGGATTGTGACCATAGAGAAGATGATAGCCCGACAGTATGCAGCGAAACACGTTTGGATGAGGTTTAGCTCCCACCGGTACCTTCATTTTAACAAACCAACAAATCCCGCCTCCCAAAAAAGTACCGTTTTGGCGTTGACGCAAGAAATCCCAGCTGACGTAGGGGAGCACTGCCGCCGTTCGACCATCCAGACACCACCAGGCTGAGACAAGTCTGTGGCGTGTGATGCGATTATGGAGCGAGCTGCGGCCCGCTCCAGGGCGAGAGGCACTGTTCCGCCATGGACGGACCCACGCCGCCGACCGACGTCCTACACCGAGTGGTCACCGAGTCACCGAGGTCACCGAGTGCCAGCCACCTGACGACTTGCAGCTAAAGCTTTTCCCGCACGAATGTCTTGTAAGCTTTTTGCGGGGGGGCCGGATGACGTTCCGAGTTCATCATTTTGAACGTGAACTCGCCTTTACAGCCACGCTGCATCTGCTCGTTACAGGAAGCTGCGGTTGTGCCCGAGGACGAATCTGCACACCCATCTGTTCGTCTCGTTCATCATGAAGGCGGTCATGGGGATCGCCTTGGACAGTGTGTCGGAGGAATTGGACGAACTTGGATACAGTGGGGTAAGGCGTGCCGTGAGCGTGGGGCCCATGAGTGTTGTTTCGGAGGAATTGGACGAACTTGGATACAGTGGGGTAAGGCGTGCCGTGAGCGTGGGGCCCATGTGTGTTGTGTCGGAGAACTGGTACGGCACTGGATACAGTGGGGTAAGATGTGTCGCAGGTGTGTGGGCCCATGAGCATTGTGTCGGAGAACTGGTACGGCACTGGATGCAGTGGGGTAAGACCTGCCGCGGGTGTGTGGGCCCATGAGTATTGTGTAGGAGGGCTGATACGACACTGGATACACGTTGACAATTTCGAACAATTTAGTCTGAACCTGTTGATTGGATGGATTTCTGAGATCAACGCCCAGAAGCTATGGAGGGCTTGTTTCTTGAGCCCTTCGTTCTACCATGCGATCAAGAGATTACAGATCAATGGCAGAATTTGGTGGCGGAAGTTTAATACGCCGAAACGCTCGGCACGGTCCGCCCTGACTTCTGACGTCACCTGAGCTTTTGCGCTGCTGCTACCACCGGACGCAGGTCATCTCAGTCGAGGATGAATAGTGAGTGTCTCAAGCGACTCGAACCCACCCCGTCACGGGTGGTGATAGGAAGGCAGACGCTTTATAACCAACTGATTTATCTGGACGGAGTCGGTACAGGTCTCGTATGCACTCTATACACGCTCTGGTACCTCGGTGGGCAAATGATGGCGAGACTGAAATCGGTGATGACTTAAGTTAGCTCCATCCCACTGGTTTCGGGCCAAGGCAACGAAAAGATTTAGCCGTATAGGGCAGCTTTAGGCCTTCCACATTGGCAATTTCGGAGCAGACATTGCCGTGCACTCGCAGAAAGTTAGGGCCGAACTAACAATGCTCTCTTGACGAAGTTTCTGGAAGTCGTTGATATCCGAAAACTGCAAATTAATCACGTGAGTTCAACCGTTCGTCTTGCGAAAACGTGACATATTCTTTATCTTGACGGGGTTACCCGCATAAGAAATACTGGATCTATCCTTCAAACTCTCGTGCGCATTTCAATTTATTGCATATCGTGAGCGATGAAATAACATAACCACCGTTACCTGAAAGAGACACGTGTATGCACGATGGGGTTTCCTCCGTTGTGCGACCAAAGCGACCAGCTGCACGGTCCCGAGCGGTGGGTGCTCCCACTCGTGCAGCGCTGCCCTACACAGCGAATGGTGGTACACATCGTGGACGCGGCCATTGCCAGAAAGGGGTGACGAGGGGTACCAACAAGACAGACACACAGGCATCAGTTGTGGTGCGAGAAAAGTTTAGTGGCTGTCTGAGACTGGGCATGCTCAGATTCCAGATGGCTGCAGCTCCACGTCAAGACACTGGCTCCCAGACCCGCCGGGTCACGTCTTCCGTGTTTCTCTTGCGGTTCCTCAAGTCTCTTCATCCCATATGTAAATCTTCCGTCTCCGTCTTGATGCGCGTTCGTTACCACTCGGCTTGCTATCATTTCGGCTCCCCTATGTTCTGATGTTTTCTTAGGTCACATCTAGTTCTCTCCTTTACTCTATTTTGCTCTCAGTTTCTTCTCTGTTCTTCCGGAGAGTTGTTTTTTCTGTGTTCTGTTCTCTTTTTATTTTCGCTCTTGCACCGTGAACTACAGTCCTGCAAGTTGCGAACTTTGGGTCGTTCCAGCCGTTGCTCTGCGAGTCTCCGAGTGCGCGAGGTTGAGATCCATCTGCGACCCAGTGTCCCAACCCAGCGTCCCGACGTCCCAACCCAATGTGAGCCACCATCCAATGCGACCTGACGGACGGCTTTGTCGTAGCTACGGCTTTCCATTCGAGAGCGCTTACCATCTCATGTAGCCAATCAGGGGGCATCATCCAGGAATGTGTCGCTGCCAAATGGCCTTGTTAATGTTTTTGAACCCACTCGCCGTTGCTGGTTCTGGCACGGCACCAGTTAGACGCTCTATCATTATAGCCCCCGACTAGCTGGTGACATTTTCGTCACCCCCGACCTCTAGCCGTTTTCTTTCCATTTGAGGATTGCAGATCTAAATCGTCGCACCCAGCAGGCCGCGCTGCATCCTCTCCTCGCAGAATTGCTTTAAAAGCATGAGTAGTTGTGCTCCTAGGTACTGTCGCAACTGAAATGCGTTTCGCATAAGGCGAATAACAGTTGTAGCTTTGCACTCGTTTCAATGTTCGAGTTGTTTTAACCTGTTTTACAAGCACCACTCCGTGTTGAAGATTTCATAAGCTGTCCCGTAGATGAGGAGCATGCCTACGGATAAAAACGAAACGTTAACGTTAACTGCGTGATTCACAAAACAAACTAGACAAGTGCTCTTAGAAAGAAAGTGAGGGTACATATGGATGCCCTAAGTCATGAGTGAAATGCACAGACTTGTGTTGCTCGGTAGGGTGCGCCAAAAGTAATGTCAAATGCTGCGTTCATAGTATATTTGTTCACTAGCGTGCAACATGGTCGGGTTAGAAGCAAAACTTATCCTGTGTCGTCAGGACTTGATCCTGTTCTGGTAATTGCAGGTTTGTGCGCGTCGTCGGGAGTAAAACGGTGCCTCCCAGTTCGTCCCATGGGCCTTCCCCATGAAATATTGGGAAAAAGTGGCATACGCGTCAGATAAGCGCCCGGGTGGCAGGTTGAAGCCGATGGGGTTGTGTGGGGAGCCAAATGACTTCCCTGAAATATAAAAAGTTAGAGAGCTAGAGACACCAAAATGGCAGGGTAGGTATGTCTCTATGTTAACTCGTTTATATCAAAGTTTTTAGCTTCCTGAGTGATGAACTCTGGGTTAAATAAGGTCAAAGAAGGTAAAGCTCCAGATCTGTATCTAAGCTGTTCAGCACTCATCTAACTCGACGAAGCTCCGCAAATAAAACTGCTCAGCGTACCTTACCCCACCTTGGCATTCACCTGGCTTGAAAGTGGAATGGCATCACCAGATCGAACCTTGGAATATTTCTGAAGAAGTCTGAAAGCAGATATCGGAGCCCGCTGGAGAATCTACAGGATTCTTTGACGAGAAACATGAATGATACAAGAGTCCCATGAACAATCAAGCAAACAGTGAAAATAGCTCGTCGTCATGGAAGATCCCTCCTCAGAATGTCATAACTGGACCAAGGCCCAGAAAGATTCGGAAAGCAGTACTCAGGCATTTGATCCTGAGAACGACATCTCAAATCTCGCCACATGCATGCAAACGCATTGTTTATGCATGCTTTTACAGCTATACTTTTCGCGACGTGTTTGGCCAGCTAGGGGATTCCTAAGCGCCGGACCGTTCTATGTGGCTTGCTAGATGTTCCAAGGAGCAGTTAGTTATTGATCTTATTGCTGGACGTGACCTAGATTGCGTCGAGTAAACTAATAAGTCCCTTGGTAGTCTGCTTTTGAGAAACGTGATTTTGAAAATGGGACTCCGGGGAGCAATACGTGGTTCGTAGAATAGTCCCAACGCACTGGAACAATCTTATGCTTCGAAATAAGTCCAGCACGTTCTTCACCTGAAATCTTGGCTGGTGTGCCACTCATCTCGTCTTGAAAGATTCGATCTTAGATGCTGGATATGGTTACAGTTTGACTTCGGAATGGCTCCATGTTGTAGTGCGGACTAGCGTAGAAAAACGAAAGCTGAAGTCAGACACTATTGAACCGTTGACCAATCCAAGGTAAATGTTCGGTAATGAACAGCTGCAAGAACTCTGCGTTGATATTTCTTGTACCATATGAGTGACGATGCGGTTGTGTGTGTTGTATTTTGCCCACGGACGTCCACATTGCTGTTTATCAGTTCCGATATTTTCGAGCACACGAACAAGCCGCGTGACTTTTTTCTCATAGAGAGCCATAACTGTGCGGAAATACGTTTGGATCACGCGCGGCACAACGAGATCGGTGTGACATAGATGTCATGCCGCAGCAGTCTGTTGAAACTATCAGAAAACGGCCGCGCTAATCTGCAGCAGTCTGTTAAGACTATCAGAAAACGGCCACGCTAATCTGCAGCAGCCTGTTAAGACTATCGGAAAACGGCCGCGCTAATCTGCAGCAGTCTGTTGAGACCATCGGAAAACGGCCGCGCTAATCTGCAGCAGTCTGTTGAGACCATCAGAAAACGGCCGCGCTAATCTGCAGCAGTCTGTTGAGACTATCAGAAAACGGCCGCGCTAATCTGCAGCAGTCTGTTAAGACTATCAGAAAACGGCCACGCTAACCTGCAGCAGCCTGTTAAGACTATCGGAAAACGGCCGCGCTAATCTGCAGCAGTCTGTTGAGACCATCAGAAAACGGCCGCGCTAATCTGCAGCAGTCTGTTGAGACTATCGGAAAACGGCCACGCTAGTCTGCAGCAGCCTGTTAAGACTATCAGAAAACGGCCACGCTAATCTGCAGCAGCCTGTTGAGACTATCAGAAAACGGCCATGCTAATCTGCAGCAGTCTGTTGAGACTATCAGAAAACGGCCGCGCTAATCTGCAGCAGTCTGTTGAGACTATCAGAAAACGGCCGCGCTAATCTGCAGCAGTCTGTTGAGACTATCAGAAAACGGCCGCGCTAATCCGCAGTGGCAACGCCTGGACAGAGATCAAGCCACGGTGAGACGTGGCTTTGTCCGGCCCGGACAGCTTTCCGCCGAATGAAGATCATACGAGAATCATGTCATAATTAACAGTTTATACTGACGCGTGCCTTTTCACGCGGTCCATCCTTGAAGGTGATCTTTACAAGTCACGAACGTGCTCTTCTTGGGCTGTGTGCTTGGCTGGGTTAAAAAGTTAGTTAATAGGGAGCACCTGTAGAGATTCAGCAGCATAACGCTGATCCGGATCGTTGCGAAGGTATCTTGCTGAACGATCAACAAAAAACAGGCATGAATGATGAATGTAAAAAACTTGAAGACCAAAGTTCCTGTTGATACCCTCGCTGCTTAATGCTTCAGAAATGCATGCCATGGAGGCTTCTCAATGCTTCACAAATGTATGCGATAGAGGCACAAGCACAAAACAACGTCTATGCGGTCTGAGCCAGCAAGCCTCCACGAAGTCGTTAATGAGCCGTCTACAGGCGACATGGAGTGATGTTGGTCTGTATCGGGCCCGAGTCGCCCGCAGGTGCGTCGGTTTGGCCGCGTCAGTGACTGATGGACCGCTGCTGCGATGTCGGTGGATCATGTCAGACAATGAGGTGGCCGTGCGGCCCGCCGACCCGCTCCATAGCTCTTCATTACCCGGCCGACCCTGGATTAGCTGTCCCGTCGCGGCGCATCTCATTGGCGGGAAATAGCCGGCGGAGAGTGAACTGACGCCCGCGCGTCAGCTGCGGCGTGACGTCACACCTGTTCAGACGTGCGCAGGCGTGCTCCCGTCTGGGCGTGCAACAGGAGACGGGCTGCTCGGCGGGCGCCCGTGTACGGTAGGCTTAAAAACCAATCAGGGATTTCACGCGCGGAAACGAAACAAACCTCGAGCATCTCTCACAGGTCGCCTGCGGACGAGATGCATGCCGCGCACTTGTTCGTGACTTACGTCAGCTCCGCCGCCGCCGCCGACCGCCCGCACTTTTAATAAGCGTGGTGTCTGAATAAAGGAAATACTCACATTCGTAAAGGTGTGAGCTTAGCGACCTTGAATCTGTACTGCGATGGAAAGTTCAGGATGGAGACCGAGTTGTTTATTTAGCGAATTCGTGAAAAGGCCACATGCCCATACCGTCTGCAGTGGTCACAAACCATGGCAGGGGTGCCCTTTCTCGGTCCACAATTACACAGTTAAACATAACAATTTCCTGAAACAATGGCATCTGGATGTTCTGTATTGTGCATCATCCGGTACAAATATTACAAATTTTGGTGAAACTTAATACGGTACGTTGTAATCGAACTGCGCATTTAGTCTAAAGTGGTTGAAATATTTGACTGGCTTATTGGACGATCGCCCGACAGAGCCATTTGTGCACCTTCGCCTGACCGGAGGGGCTGGCAGAACCCGTGCCAACTTTCGAATGAAGACCTGGAATGAGGATCCAACCGGAATGTACCCGCTGCCCACGCTATATACATGTTTCCGTTTTTGTTCCAGGTCGATAGCTAATTTTCCAGGCCGCACTAAACGCGTGAAATTGTCTTTATCGGAAATGACACGAAATATTCCAGCCGCTGAAATTTTCACTGTTTAACAAAAAGCAATTCCGCAAGCACACACACACAGCACTTTTTGCTGTCCTCCGGTGTCAGAAATGGTTCATAACGTGCAAATGATGCAAATGGTCCCAAAGAAAATTCAAGTGGATCTACCAGTAAATATGATAACAGCTTGTTTTGCCAACGGAGCCAATGCGTCATAAATGTCAGGAAGCAACAGCGATTTGCGCGTTCATCATCATCACGCTTTTAACTTTGTCCTTTTATTTTTGTTCTAAAGTTGTTGTCTCTAACTCTCTTATTTTTTTAACTCAGGGGGTCAAACTGACCCCATCTACCCGAGCGAAGGGTATTCAGCCGGCTGCCCGGGCGCGTGTGAAAGTTGGGAGCCCCGAAACCAAATTTGTAGGGACTGAGGCCCCACCCCGACTAACTGAACAGAAACCTCGCCGCTGAAATAGAGCTAACGTCGCTTAACCAACGCCGCATTTAATAATGGTGGTCGCTAATTTCACTTAGCTTACGCGGGATGCTTTCTGGCATTCGGGGTCCCGTCCGTGTTCCTGTTCGGCAAATGTTAGAATGGATGACTCGGGCCTCTCTCTCCCTCTCCCTCTCTCTCTCTCTCTCTCTCTCTCCTCTCTCTCTCTCTCTCTCTCTCTCTCTCTCTCTCTCTCTCTCTCTCTCTCTCTCTCTCTCTCTCTCTCTCTCTCTCTCTCTCTATCCTCTCTCTCTCTCTCTCTCTCTCTCTCTCTCTCTCTCTCTCTTCTCTCTCTCTCTCTCTCTCTCTCTCTCTCTCGCTGTCCGACTGAGGCGTGGCCCTCTTCCGTCAGAGCCTAGGATGCAAGATGGTGACGGGCATCTGGCAGTACTTCACCATGGCCAACTATTCGTGGGTGACCATGGAGGGTCTCTACCTGTTCTCCCTCATCTACCTTGCGCTGTTCTCCGACCACAGCAGCATCACCGCTTACGTCATACTTGGATGGGGTGAGTGCATGGTTAGGTCTTGCAGCCGAATTTAACGCGTGTCGATGTAGCCTTAGTGACGTTATTTCTTCAGTGCACCTGTGGTGTAATTTTGATCAGTGGTTCGTCAGGAGTTAACATTTGCTGAATTTACAGGCGTCTTTTCCGAGTTTTAAATAGCTGTGCTACAACGCACCGTGTTATGCTGTGTAAAACAAATAAACAGTGTGGTGTAAAAGTTTACAGTTTATCGCGAAGCTTTCATGCAATCCGCGAAGTTGTTTGAGAAGCACTGGTCATTTCGGCTTCGTCCGGTTATAGCCTTACCATGTTCTGTTTATGTGGTCTAGAAAATCTTTACGGAAAACCTCATGTTGGTGTGTACGTTTCAGGATTTCCCATCTGTTTCGTGGTGCCATGGATAGTTGTCCGTGCCTTGAAGGAGGACTACTATTGCTGGCGAGTCCACATCAACAAGGGATTCTTCTGGATTATCCGAGGGCCAACCGTGTTCCTGATTTTGGTAAGTCCCCTCTGCTGTGTCTTCTGGCCGGTCCACTGCGGATCAGCGCCACGTGCAGAGGTGTATAGCAGCCAGTCTCCAGCCTCACTGATACCCCTCTTGGGTTCGCACGCACAAAGCCACATCAACGAGAATAAAGCAGCCAATCGTGAATTCCTGGCAAGCCTGGTACAAGCCTAGTAGATTGGACCAACCAGTGGCATGCTGGGTTCGGGCCTGGTTACTGGGTGGAGGTCAGCGCCGGCGTGTGGCGGGAGTCGCGGTTACACGGCCGCCGGCAGCGTGGTCACCGACCGGCTGGTAGGCTGCACCGCCTGACCGGCGGTGGACCGTGTCCCGGTCACACGGCCACCGGCAGATTGGTCACCGTCTGGCTGGTAGGCTGCGCCTCCAGACCGGCGGTGGACCGTGCCCCGGTCACACGGCCACCGGCAGCGTGGTCACGGACCGGCTGGTAGGCTGCGCCTCCAGACCGGCCAGCCGCGCTCACAACTTCTGTTGGAGAAGCCCTCGGAGCTCAGCTGGCTCTGTGACCCTCGCTGACTAGATATTCGTCTTGGTGGCGATGGCAGCATCAGCTGTAACTGCCCTCGTCGAGGCGTCCGGCGGGAGGATTTGGTGGCGAGGATGATGTCGAATTGTCCCGGCGGCGTCTCCACAGGAAAGCTGGAAGATTACTGGCCAGACAGATGATCTGCTTCACCAGGTAAATAACTCCCTGTCAGCGTACGAGAAGATGCCTACCGAAACACCTTTGACGACTCGTGATGGTGGAGAGTCATGCACCATCGGCTCTTGCCGCAGACTGGAGCGGTGCTGCTGACAGGTGCTGCCGCTGCCGACAGAGGTGGTGATGACGCTCTTGATGCGCAGCCACCCGACCATTTGTCGGAGCCGTCGTTTGATGCGCTGAGTTTCCTGATGAGAATCGTGAAGCGCATTCGGGGCACGTTTCCGAGAAGCCTTCGTAATGAATATGTTGCAATCTCCCAGGACCGGAGCGTCGTGGGAAGAAAGTTGATGACGGTCGTCTGCACGCTGTACTTAGGATCGGGTCGCGGCGTCGGCGCTCCTCGCCCTGAGCGGCATCCCTGTCGTCTGTCCCGTTCTGCGCGACGCGTGCACTCGCTCGATAGGGAAGGGCGAGCCGAGCGAAAGGAGGGAGCCCACCCCCCCCCCCCCCCCCCCCTGATGCCTGCAGCGGAAGATCCAACAGGCTCATCGAGCATATCTACGTCTACCGGCGGATGGAGCAGCCTTGACTCGCACTAGTTTTAGTATCGCGACCAGTCGTGCATCGGTGCCATGTGAAGGAAGAGGGCGTATCGATGTAATGCTTAAAACAACTTTGCCTGAGCCGAACCACCGTGACCTTCTCCGAGCCGTGATGCTGTGGCGCTCGCGTTGGTGCTCCTGCTACGCGCTCCTGCTACGCGCTACGCGCCCGCCGCCAGCTCGTTCCGAGCGTTCAGGCCGCGCCGATACGAGTGGCCTCGAAGCCGTGGGCGCCGGTCGAGTGCTTAGGCACCTGCCCTGGGCCAGCGCTGGCGGGCGGCAGACCAGCTGCCCCCAGCAGCCGTCCGCGCCGTGCCAGGCGAGGCAGGCACACCCCCGACGCCATGAAACGAAAGAGCAGGGCACCCGGCACCGGGACGGGCACTCATTGCCTCAAGCCCAGGTTACTGTACCTTGCCGTCCACCTCCGTCATGGCAATCACGACCTGATGAGTCTCATCCAGACCTGGCTCAGGCCAATCTCAGTACCGACTGTTGATGCTGCCCGGGTACCAGCTGTGCCGAGCTGATAGTCCAGACAAGAGCGGATATTGCGGGGTGGCGCTGGCCCGGACAAGAGCGGATATGGAGGGGTGGCGCTGGCGCGGACAAGAGAGGATATGAGGGAATGGCGCTGGCCCGGACATGAGCGGATATGAAGGGATGGCGCTGGCCCGGACAGGAGCGGATATGAAGGGGTGGTGCTGGCTCGGACAGCAGCGGATATGGAGGGGTGGCGCTGGCCCAGACAAGAGCGGATATGATGGGATAGCGCTGGCCCGGACAAGAGCGGATAAGGAGGGGTGGCGCTGACTTGGACAAGAGTGGATATGAAGGGGTGGCGCTGGCTCGGACAAGAGCAGATATGATGGGATGGCGCTGGCCCAGACAAGAGCGGATATGATGGGATGGCGCTGGCCCGGACAAGAGCGGATATGAAGGGGTGGCGCCGGCTCGGACAAGAGCGGATATGAAGGGATGGCGCTGGCCCGGACAGGAGCGGATAAGAAGGGGTGGCGCTGGCTCGGACAACAGCGGATATGGAGGGGTGGCGCTGGCCCAGACAAGAGCAGATATGATGGGATGGCGCTGGCCCGGACAAGAACGGATGTGGAGGGGTGGCGCTGCTGGCCCGGACAAGGGCGGATATGAAGGGATGGCGATGGCCCAGACAGGAGCGGATATGAAGGGGTGGTGCTGGCCCGGACAAGAGCGGATATGGAGGGATGGCGCTGGCCCGGACAAAGCGGATGTGAAGGGGTGGCGCTGGCGGACCGCGACGGCATCAGCGCTGTCTCAGTGGAAACACCACTGCTGCTACGTTATTTCATTACTCTGGTCGGATCGATTCGTACACGATTTGGAACCCAATGCATTTCAAGGATGATGCGACTGAGGAGGCATCTACGGATGATTGCCTGCCCACAAGCTGTGGAACTGGTAGTGTGGAAAAAGCTGGCTCTTTCCGAGTTAAGATTCCGGCATTTCGTGCGGACGTATTTATTGTTTTGTACATAAGCTGGTGCTCCACATTAACACATGGCTATTACTGCCATTAGTCAGAGAGATAAAACCGGGAGTCAAAAACAACGGAAAGTGATGAAAGGGATATAAGTGAAAACGAAGAAACATGCACATACATGCATACACAAACGGTATAAAAGAATTCGTTTCGCACATAGACGGACTTGATAGCGCGCTGAAAATCTGTCGGATCCAGTCGTCTCACATGCACTGTGTGCACTGTGTGCACTCACAACCGTTTCAGGAGACGGGCCGCTCTGTATGTGCAGGACCGCAATCCTGTCCCGCGCGCACAGCCGGAGGGGAGGGGCAGGTAATCATCAATGCGGGTAGAACGGTCACAGATCTGCGTGTCGGCGTATGCTTGAAATGAACAGGCGAGATCGGCGGTCTCACTGAGATTACGAGCTTCGATGGCAGTTGGCGCGTCACGCGTTTGGCAAGGCGTGGCAAAGTGCAGGTCATCCCGCGCGAGACACGCGGTCATGCATCCGGAGGTCAGCAACTACTCCGGTAGCAAAGTTAAGTAATTTCAGCAGTCTGGTGTCGTTGACAACTGACTCCCGGCCAAAAACTGAAATGCAATGTGTTACGCGCGAGATGACTGGACCCTGCACGATTGCCAGCGTCACCCGCGGGAGGAAATGTCTCAGGTGGCGGAAGCCGCTTAGGAGGCCGATGAACCTCTTGACTGCATCACTGACTATGCGTCCCAGATCAGGTGGCGGAGACCGATCAGGAGGCCGATGAACTTCTTGACTGCATCACTGACTATGCGCCTCAGATCAGGTGGCGGGGACCGATCAGGACGCCGATGCACTTGTTGACTGCATCACGGACTATGCGTCCCAGATCAGGTGGCGGCCAGATCGCACGCCCAAGTTTTTTACGGTCTGGCTCCGCACGGTCTCCCCACCGATCTGTACGCTGACAGTTGAGAGTCCGTGGTTGTTCTGTCTGGTGCCGGGGAGAAAAAATTCGGTTTGAGATGCGTTGAGCTTGAGGTCGTGGGATGAAACCATAATGCTGGGGAGGGCAGGGTTGTTCCGGTTACGTATGACATCGGATATAAGGATTTCGGCGTCCTCAGCGCACTGGGCTGCTGAGCGTCTTGCGCGTTAAGGCTGAGGTCGTTGAGCAATCTTGCGAATGAAAGAGAATTTTTAAGGATCATTTTGTGACTAACACACTAATTTAAGTGGAGCTATCAAGGAAAATTTATTTTCGACGCCACCATCAGATTGCTATGCTTTTCTGACACAAAAGCGCGTTTTCTCAAGTTGATGTCGCTTACAATGTTTTAAAAGCCTTAATTTTTGCATTATTCGTTAAACCTTCCATGGGAGCAATCAAATGATATCTGTGGATCCGCTATAAAACCGCAGAGATAGCTGTGAGTTCGCTATGGAACCGCAGAGATAGCTGTAGGTTCGCTATAGAACTGCATAGTGGGGATACGATCAACCCGGGCTGACCGAGCGGCTCGGCGCAGCGCTCCCGGCCGGCCGGGAGCTTTTGATCGGGGTTTGATATCGCATCCCCACTGTGCGGTTTTACAGCGGACCCACAGCTATCTCTGCGGTTCTATAGCGTACTCACAGCTATCTCTGCGGTTTTATAGCGGACCCACAGGTATCATTTGATTGCTCCCATGGAAGGTTTAACGAATAATTCAAAAATTACGGTTTTTAAAACATTATAAGCGACATCAACTTGAGAAAACGCGCCTTCTCTCCCGCGCACAAGGGCATCGGTCGTCTCGGCTGAGGCTTAGTTAAGGGCGCGAGCTCTGTCTGAATGGGTGCTCCCACGTGCGCAGTGATTATGAAGTGTTCATACGCTTCGAAGGGCAGGGTTTGCGTTAACCCGTTTAACCTGAAGCCTTCAACGGCCAATAAAGGGCTGCGACCACTCACCAAATTGTTGGCCACCGTTCGCTTCTAAGGCCCGCGTTGGTCGTTGACAAGCTATGCATTGAATGCAGATAGCAGGCCCTGAAGAAGGATTCTGGGCCGGCCATATGTACCAGAGTCAGATGTGGGCGGGTCAGGCAGTGCAGACTGAGGAATGTGGGCGGGTCAGGCAGTTAACCGAGATCAAGAAGTATAGAAGTAAAAGAAAGCCATGGTCCATGCTGGGAAATATGCGGTCGGACGAGGCGAGCAGAGCAGACCCCGTCGAATGGCGAAGACGGACGGCGAAGACGGAAAAAAAAGACGGAAGACGAAAAAAAGACGGCATGCCCGGTTAGAATGAGAGTAGAAAATGATCGCCCGACATGTAGCGGACCAACCGAGCCGTACTGGAGAATGTGGCGGGTCAGGCAATGACATTAAGCCATAAAGGCAATCGCTTTAATACTGACTATAAGGTAATTTTAAGGGCTCATATACCCGTGGCTGTCGTAATTGAAGCATGGTCCCATTCTCCAGGTATATATGGCTCGGCGTTTGCCGCTGATGTCTCATTCACCGTAGCAGAGTCAAATGCATCAAACCCGGCACGCGCAGGGCCACATATGCCTGGGAAGTGAGGCGATTTTTCGTACTGTCGAATTACAAAGGGCCGCGGTTAACGGAACCCTGGAAGTTAACATATGGTCATTGTTAAAAGGGCCGCATTTATGTCACAATTTTCGGATGCATGATTCACCCACATCTTGCCCACATCAACGGACCATAATCAGACGTGCAAGCGCATGTGAGCCTAGGCGTGAGAACTGCCTGACAAGATATAATTCGGAAAAGTTTTGTGGCAACCTTAAATCATGTCGAGCGGTGGTCTAATACTCATGTGATATCGCCTGTATACTGCTGACGATTAGAAGCGAAGCTTTCGACTGCCGCGGGTGCCAAGCCAAGCCCGCGTTTGTGGCGTGAAACTCGGTCTCTTTCGCTGAGCAAGCAACCGGATGGCTGGAGTCAGTGTTTGAGTCCGGAATGGCTGGAGTCAGTGCTTGAGTCCAGAATGGCTGAAGTCAGTGCTTGAGTCCAGAATGGCTGGAGTCAGTGCTTGGGTCCAGAATGGCTGGAGTCTAACGCCGATCTACGCGGTCGCCTTATTGGTTTTGGTTTGCCCAATGTCGACGTGATGGCAGCACTTCAATACGTAAACCGCGTTCATGCTGATGCACTATTTTGAGACGGGCTCACGAACGTATTCATCACCGCAACTTGGCCTGGTTGGCACTGAAACAGCGTGCCAGAGTTCGATGTGCGGCCATGTCTGCGCACCAGGCACTCCTGTCTTTAATTTCACGAGCTCTCACGGCATGTTCTGACCACCAGGTCAACGCCGTCCTCTTCGTTTGCATCGTGCTGGTATTGATGCAGAAGCTGAACGCGTCTATCTCCGTGGAAACCCGCCGATACAGGTACAGGTAACTGACCTTTCTACATCTCGAGCCCATGTGCTGTAGATCGCGATGGCAGAGGCCAAGGCTGCGGCCGTCTGCCGGCATGTGACCTGTAACGGTGTGGATGGCTGCTTGGTGTGCACATGCATTATTGAGCTGTCTGAACAGTGCAGCGCGAGAATGTTTGGAGCCACTTCAGTTGGAGCGGGAGGCGACCAGGTCCGAGTGCTTGCATGGTCAAATCACGTAGCTTAGGTCAGGAGATAGTTTGAGTTCATTAACATTGCAATGATTCCAAATCGCTGTGCCAGCTTGGTTTGTGTGTGCATGCCTGATCAAACGAAGAGTAATGTATAATTGCGCATACACAAGTGATGCATTCTGTTTTACATGTAAGCAAGTTGTTGGCAAATTTTCTACGTCACCATCTCCCCTCCAGACACACCTGCATTTTTGAGTCAATTGCGCGAATCTAGTATATCACATGAGTTGAATAAATTTGGCCGAAGCAAAAACCTTGTATTATTTCATCAGAATGTTATAGTGTTTCTTCCTCATTTGTCATGGTAATTATATCACGTCATCGTATCAAATCGCATCACGTTTTTGTGAGCGGTGTGATTTGTGCGCTGCAGTATTTCTACAGTGTCGTTCCCAGGGCAGCTGCGGGAGCACGGTACTCCAGTGGCGTTACAACGTTGAGGCGCTGCATTGCCATTACCGTTGTGCGCAGCAGGTTGAAGCTATTGAAGACATTAAAGAAATGTCTCTCAATAGCTGTGAAGATATGTTTTCAAACTCTATTAAATGCATTAAAGCAAAAGACGACATTTTTACACTTTGAGGAAATAACTATGGTGTTTTTGTTCGAAACGACGTGTGGTTTAAAGGCTGCTCTCCTGCATCAAGCTTATCTTTACTTCCATATTTTGTTTTGTATGGGTACCGAAAAAAACGGATTTGTTTCCCAACTTAGTTTAGCGACATAAGCCGGTGTCACTGCCCCGTCGCTGTGGGTAGATACGAACTAATCTAGTTAAGCCGCGACCACAACAACTTTCGATAACCTCATTCTGGAGATGCGGCGTCAGTACCCCCCCCCCCCCCCCTCCCGCCGTCGGAGGAATAGAGAACGTTATTATGTTATGTCAAACGAGGTAGGTTTGGAACCTAAACTGTCTCACCTGTGCAGTTCCACCGAACCATGCATTCGCAGTCGGACATAATTAGACAAACATGGCTTTTGGTCATAAAATTCGTCTTCGAAAAATTAATCGGAAAGTCCTGTTAAGCCAACATTGTATGGTTCTGTGATTTTATTTTTTCCCGATTGAGTCATGGCGCGCTGCAGTTAGGCTGAAACCGAATGCAGCTCTGGCATTCATTTTACAGGAAGAGGGGGTGCTTGGGTGTAATATTGACAAAGCTGGGCACATGTGGATAGGTACCTGTTATACGCCTAGTTAGTTACTCGTTGAACATTCTAATGTTTCTCGAGCAGCGTGTAACGGGTGCTCCCATGATCTGCTGGTTGCTGGAAGACCTTGAGTCTTTTGTCAAACGACAATTTTTAAATCTTCCCCAACGAAAATGTCTCACGGACATGGCCAAAGCTGGCGTATAAAGACACTGCCGATCACAACAAAAACAAAACAGCGCGTGACCATTTTTTGCGAGGTTATCCATAATGCTAAATGTATTTCCCACGTCATCATGTACTCCACTCGTCATCGGAGAGTCAATAAATTTGACAAACATATTTCCTTAAAGTGTGAGGTACCGTGCGTGAGGTGGTCAAAATTGATCCTCGCCCTGGTAGGGTGGTGGTCGGTGCGCACGTATACATGCTCAAAATACATCAACTATGTGAACAGGGAAGACGGCTGTTTATCTTTTGTGCCGCTGTAATGTATTGTCTCGCACATATGAGCGTGCATAGCTAAAAAGGTTACAATGCCGAAAAATTTGAACTTTTTCCTGGCAAATTGGGGTCAAATGTTGGCTCAGCGGTAAAAAAATCGTGACATTTAGCTGAGAGCAATCCACTGGTGTTTTCCCTATGCTTCACCTTGCTTACTTAAAAAAAACGGCAGCTGGTCACATCCACCACCCGCATCAGTCCTCGTTATAAAAACAAACGGCGAATCAGAGTTAGTGTTAATGTTCGTTTTAGTTTTGACAAGGTTTGCTCCAAACCTTTCGATGAGATGGCTTTCTGGAAGCAGTGCCCTGCTCCGTAAGGCACTGCTGCATGAGTCCTGTCCTTTACCATCCGATCGCGAAATTCCCTGCTTACGGCAGAATTTTGCGAAAGCTAACGTGTCGTTTAAACCAAGTGAGTTACCAGGACGAACCCAATAACCGTGCCGAGAGCTCAGCTGGCTAGAGTGCCTGCCTTTTGATCCACTCACCCGTGGCGGAGTCGCCTCAGGCGCACTCTGTTTGCCTTCGCCAAGTATGGCCTGCGGCCGGTGGCAGCGGCCGCGCTAAAGGTTAGGTGACGTCAGATGGCAGGACGGACCATGCCAGCCATTGCGACGCGTTAAACTTTCGGCAACGAATTTTACCGTTAGCCTAGAATTTCGCGATCGGATGATAAGGGTCAGCACTCACGCAACAAACACTGCTTGCCGTTAGCGCTGATCTCAGAAATTTACCTATTAATATCAAAGACTTGGACTAAATATAAAACAAAAATACAAGTACGAACTTGCGGTTAATCCAGATTACCTCACTAGCCCGGACGAAACTTTTGATTAAAACTGATTAGCGCAGGTTATCTAAGGGGTGTAAATGAAGCCAAAAATTGGTATGCTCATTAACAAGCTAACCTCGATTTCAGATTTCAGTCAGCTTAGCCTGGGTGCGTCAGCTCATGGAAGTGGGTTCTTAAGTTCATAAAGCTGGGAGAGTCTCCGCTGGGCTCAAGCCCATTTCAGGTCCCAAAAGTTTTGCACAGTTGGCTGCTAATTATACCCAAATCGGATATTTGTTTGCATTCCTGTGCTTACTTCATAAGTATTCGGGTGTTTCCATATATTCCCGTAATGGTTGGGTGTTACAATTAAGTATCCGAGTGTTTCCGTATATTCCAGTAATGGTTGGGTGTTACAACGTACTTCGAATCCGGATTTTCTGGATAACATTTAGAAAACCATTGTGTGAATGCTCAGCACTGGCCATGGCCTGTTTGGTATCCGTTTTTATACGTATTGCTGCGTAATCACTGGTGCTTCATAATACATTGCGCGATGATATGCACTTTTCATAAACAGAGTGGGTGCCAACATTTTACGAGTGGATTTTGAAAGCAAATTATGACACTGACGTTAGGCTGACAGAATACATTTTGGGATTTTACCAAAGCAAAGTTACTCTACCGGAATACTGAACATAGTCCCATCCCAACATCAAGTGGCATGCTCACCTTTTCGACACTGTTTTGAGGCAAACAGTGTTCTGGTTTTTATCTAGATAGCAACACTCGGAGAGGTTGGATTTCGGACTAACTATGGGTTGCGTCACCCATGCCCACACCAGCAATACCTTGGCCATTTTAAGTCTCATTTTTACAGCCAAGCAACGCTTTAGTGAGAATGCAATAGCAGGAGGTAACAGGTGAAATGTTGTGTAATTCGGGCCGCTATTTTCACAGCCAAGCAATACTTTAGTGAGCATGCTGTAGCATGAGGTACCAGCTCAAATTTCGTGCAATTCTCGCCGCTATTTTCACAACCAAGCAATGCTTTAGTGAGCATGTTGTAGCATGAGGTAACAGCTCATATGTCGTGTAATTCGGGTCGCCATTTTCCGGTATGTGCGGCGATCGTTGCCCGGCTTTGCATCTGTGTGATGAAAGCTGTAGCAGCTATCTAATTTGACACGTAACGGGACGGACCAACGGCTTCAGGATAAACGTGGGGTAATTTCATCACGTACCTGGAAATCATACCGCTTGCCAGCGACGGGGTATGCAGAAAACATTCCAAGCAAATGAAAGCCTACAACGTATTCCGAAAACTTGGCTTACTTCTGACTAAACGTAAAAGCCTTAGCCACAACAGTGGCCTCCAACCTGAGCCTGAGCCTGGACAGCAACATCTGTGCACCTCCATCCTCTCTTCGCTTCTTTTGCCCCTGACTAGGATGGACACGGAACATCTCATGCCGGCGCGTTAACCCACAAGTCATCGCGCACTTTCGCCACGTCAAGCGCCAGTCACATTACACGCGTGCGCGGTGGTGGTATGTTCGTACCGACGCGTGACGCGCCGACAGTGGAGGTACGCGTGTGCTAGCACGTTACACGCGCGCGCGGTGGTGGTGCGTGTGTACCGACACATGACGCGCCGACAGTGGGGGTGCGCGCGTGCCAGCACGTGACACGCGCGCTGGTGGTGTGCACATGCCGACAGGAAGCTGGCGCGCTCCACGCTGGTGCTGATCCCGCTCTTCGGCTTCCACTACGTCTTGTTCGTTGGCTTGTCGGCCTTCATGAACGTCAACCCGATCGTGGAACTCATCTGGCTGTTCGTTGACCAGCTGTTCGCGTCATTCCAGGTGAGGGTTGCCTGCTGTGACTTGACGAGCGCAACGCAGCTGTTCCGTTTGATTCTGAGCTTTGGCGTCAGAATGCTTCTACTGTGTGGTGTCATGGAAACACCGCAGGTATTTCACGCTATTTACCATTGGCTAATAAGTGCTTTGTGTTGTTTTCAAATGTTTTACAAATCGCTGCTTTCTCTAAAATGCAAGAATCCATTGGAATTTGTCATTTCCGCCGGTTAGGGTTGTTAAATGGCGTAAGCAAATAAAGTACAGGCTAAGAGCAGCCTCCACATAGAAAAGTTGTGAAAAAAGAGAAGAGGGAAATAGGAAATGTACATTGTTGTAATCAGGGGAGCTCCACTTCAATGGTCGATAACCCCGTGTACATGGATTGACAACGGATGCCAGATTGTCTCAAGTATTTGGTAAAGCTTGAAAATACATCAAACCTTGGCGACTTGGTTGCAGCACAACCAGAGTCTAGTTCCGATAGTAAAGACATGATGTGTCGATTTGCTCAAATACCTTTGAGTAAATTTCGGACATCTTGCACTTTAGACAGGAGTGGGAAGAGTATGGTCTTTTGGCCAGCATTCGTGCCCGATCATTGTATTTTCTATAGCAGCACAGCTGCTTTCGAAGGATCGGGCTTGCTGCCGTTATGGAAATTTCCACAGATTACAATTTTAGCTTACTTCTACAGTTTTATCTTGCCTCCACGCATATCGGTCACCGGATAGCATAACGGGACTGCAACCTCGACGCTGATTGGCTACCTTCAACGCGGAGTCGAAGCGCAGGCAGACGTGCTTTTCTCAAATCTTGAACCTTGCGAACCCGGGCGGAGTGGGTGGCCTCCTGTGCGGTTGTGGTGCATTTATTCGGTAGTGGTGTTAGAGAAAATCTGAACGCCAGCCCGCCGCCGGCTGGGCCGGCTCGGCGTCCGCCAAGGAGAAGCAGCGTCGGTCGAGCCGTGTCGGCGTCGGCGTCGGCGACGGCGACGGTGATGGTGACGAGGCGGACAGAACAAAAGCGATGTAGATACACAGTTCCGGCGGGTGCGACGGAAACAGAGGGCAGAAGAGACATTTAACAACAGTTAGAAATCACTAAATAAGGCGAATGGTTAAACTTAACACAACTGGCCGAAACGGCATGGATATACAGCGGAGCGAGTTGCCGGGTCTTAATTATACCACGCACTGCTTATTTGGCCTTAACACAGCTGGCCCAGATTTTGACCACATTCAAAAAGGCAAATATAGGATACAAAATTTAACTCAGCTGCGAAATTTTTGAGCCGTATATGGATACTGATGACCAGAAACGCACGCAACAACAGCGCAAGCATTGCCTGCAGCGTGTACTCAAACAGCGTCACCGTCGTTAGTTGTTGAAACGATCTGATAGTTGAAAAACCGCTGGTACGCCTCGCTCGATCCCAGAGCGCATCCCTTCCCACCGGGCACGTCACGAACGCTGGCCGTCGCCGCGCTGGCCGGGGCGCAGCGCCTGCAGTGCGAGGCGCGCCTGAAGCGCGAAGCGTGCCTGCAGCGCGAGGCGTGCCTGCAGTGCGAGGCGTACCTGCAGCGCGAAGCGCGCCTGTAGCGCAAACGTGCCTGCAGGGCGAGGCATGCCTGCAGCGCAAGGCGTGCCTGCAGCGCGAGGCGTGCCTGCAGCGCGAGGCGTGCCTGCACCGCGAGGCGTGCCCGCAGAGGCCGCCGGCCATACAGGCGACTGGTCCGTTCCGCGTCGGTCGCAGGACCCTCGCCGGAGACCTCCCAAAGCTCGAGTGGCACGAGCAGCGCCTGCTCCGTGGGCACTGTGGGCAGACTCTGGAGCAGGGCCTGCAGCGGGTGGCCGCGCCCGGCCGGTAGCCATGCGCACACGCGAGCCGGGGCCCGTTGATGGCCGCTGCCAGTCGCTCGGTCGACAGAGCGGCTGGTGTCGCCACGGCCGCCTCCATGGCGCAGGACAGGGCCGACCCAGTTCGGGGCTGTTCGTCACATGCCGTTCAGGTGTCTATGCGGATGTCATGCTCGCGCCGGACGAGCTCCGCGACGCGACAGAAACTTGCAGTTCCAGGCGTAGGGCGCTAATCTACCGGACGGCAGCGGTCAGTTCCAGGCGTAGGGCGCTAATCTACCGGACGGCAGCGGTCCGTTTTTCCGCCATGACGACCGACGTGTTGAGCTCCCCACCCTCGTACTCCAGCCGGAAGTAGGCGGCCGCGCCGGCCGCCAGCTCAGATGCGTCGCCGAATTCCGGCAGCTGTTTGTCCGTCGGGAGTTCCGTCGGTTCGGCGGCACCGGTCGACCTTGAAGTGACCCAGTCTGGGAAGAACGCTGATCGACAGCCGCAAGACAGCCGTCAGTTTATGGCCTGCGATTGTCGCGTGCCACTCGCACCCGCACCGCTAGATGGCCTGCAATGTGGCGGCTTCGTTGACGTTTTCCAGCAAGTTCAGATCATCGTCTACGTAGACTCGCGAGTGCACGGCTGAGGCTGCTGCCGGACAAGCTCAGCAGGTCTTCGGCGCACTGCCGCGGGGCGTTATCGGTCGAGCAGAGAGATGGAGTCGTTCAAAGGACCAACGCCTGCATTTGATGATGTCGGGCGGCTTCTCTCGGGCGTCACCTCACCGCAGGGGTCGTAGAGCAGGCTGAGGGAGCGGCGTCAGGACTCCGACGGGACTCAGTCAGGTTCGGTCCCGGCGGAGGACTGTCGTCGAGCGGCGCACCGCCGTAACGCGCCGCAGCGCCGCCAGTCCCGGCGGAGGACCGTCGTCGAGCGGCGCACCGTCGTAATGCGCCGCAGCGCCGCCAGTCCCGGCGGAGGACCGTCGTCGAGCGGCGCACCGTCGTAATGCGCCGCAGCGCCGCCAGTCCCGGCGGAGGACTGTCGTCGAGCGGCGCACCGCCGTAACGCGCCGCAGCGCCGCCAGTCCCGGCGGAGGACCGTCGTCGAGCGGCGTACCGTCGTAATGCGCCGCAGCGCCGCCAGTCCCGGCGGAGGACTGTCGTCGAGCGGCGCACCGCCGTAACGCGCCGCAGCGCCGCCCGTCCCGGCGGAGGACCGTCGTCGAGCGGCGCACCGCCGTAACGCGCCGCAGCGCCGCCAGTGCCGGCGCGCTCGTCGGTCCGCTGTGGCTTCCGAGTCCTCGGTCACTCGGGGGCAGTTTACGTACTGTGGCCTCATGAAGTGCCCGGGAGGCTTTCGTGCCACCGACCGACCGCGGCGAGTTATCACGGCCCAGGGAGCGCCGGAGGGTCACTGTCGCGCGTGTGGAGGTGCAATGGGATGGATTGCATCGTTTGCGATGGGCAAGTCAACTGCCTTTGACGTGACCTCTGCCAAGTTGAGGTCAACAGCTTGAGGTCACTTCCGCTCCTTCGTCGTCTACTTTTCGCTGGCCCAGACACGTTGATGCCTGACGTTGTGCGGACGCCACTGATGGGAAGATTTCGTTCCGCTTCTGTGGTTGCATATGCAGCTTGGCGCATTTGGAGACGTACCCTGAGCGACCAGCAATGGTGCCCAGACGCAGGGGCCCGGTGCGGCCCTGTAGCCCCAGGTCCGACGTCAGCTCCTCGGTGACCGCGGACACCTCTCTGCCGAGGTCCAGCACGGCGCAGGTGGCACGCTGTGCGGACCATCTGCCGCCCGCGGTCCTCAAGGGCCACGGACGGTCAGCGGCATTATTTGCAGCATGGCGCTGGTGCTGGTGGCTGCGCACATGGTGCCGACGTGTGTAGGGCTATCCTCTGCTGGGTCTGGCACACCGGCCAACTGAGGCGAGAACATCCGCGGGACTCCTTGAAACATTGGATGACGTCCCTCTTAGAGCCGCGGTGTCGCCTCGTGCGGCCTTTTAAACAGGCAGCGCGCGCCACTTGTCCGTCAGCCGGGCAGACCCGGCACGGTCTATGGTGTGGCACTGCCTCGGGGCGACCGCCGACGCTGGCCCCTACAGACGGGCAGTCAAACGCTGTGTGTGCTTGGTCGAACTTCGTACATATCCGCCCCGTTTGTCCGCGCCGCTGGGGTCCTGCTGCGACCGTCACCGTAGACGCACTGTGCGTGCGTCGGTCGCGTGACCGTGACATAGGCTGGTCCTTGTACTTGTGGAGGTCGTCCAGTCCCGAAAAGTCGACGGCACGTGCTGCGTCAACGCGGCCAGGTGTTCAGTTCGGGAAGCGTCGGCCGCGCGGGCCAGCTGCTGACCACCTGCTCGCACCAGCGCGCCAGCCCACGCCGTGGGGAGCTTGGAGTACGTTTCATCGAAACTTTTCAGTTTAACCTCCGGTGTTCCGGGCAGTTTTAGCACAGTACCGCGTATTAGGTGACGGGACGGGAGAGCCTGAGTAACTGGAATGCTTGAAATGTTCGTGTAATGTCCTTGAACTGTGATGTTCGTGGTAAGAAATTTTCCAAACTTATACAACCCATATAGCCTAAACCGGCTTGCATGCAACTAAAAGCTGCCGCATATCGCAAACTATTTTTTGTTGTCCCGCTCCTGTCACACCTCTTCCAAACCATGACCAATATTTGCAGGCTGGCTTAGCCTGGAAAAAGAGTTCGAATGTCAAAAACATGTACGGTACTTACGGAGTATTATGTGGGACAAGATTAACGCAAAACTAATAGCAGTGTATGTCGAAACCTAGCGTACTGGTGTCAGGGAAATTTTCTGCATTTTCGTGAACGCCACGCATCTAGAATCAGTTTACAGCATGCCCTCTTTGCACCATCTGTTGGTAGCCCGCGGTCGCGTTTTGATCTAAATGCGCATCATTGGAATTCTAAACCAGGTTTCATAATCGCTGGACAAATCTGGCCGAAAATTCTTGTCATCTCCGATGGCTTCAATAATTGCATCAGTACCATTTTCACACTCGTAGGACATAGCTACCGAAAGAAGGCTGTTTCCAGCTATAGCCAATGTCAACAAAATAACCTCACCGGGCGTAAGCTTTGGCCTTTCAGAAACGACGATGATGCGACGTAGGGTCGACAAAGCCTTGGCTTAGCTGGATCTGAGGCATGGGGATGTCTGGCTTTCCCTTCGGCTTAAGTCTGCCGTGTCCTCGCGGGATATCTCGTCCGTGTTCCACGCCGTATTGGCAATCTCTGGTCAGCGGAAAATCGGTATTTTCAAATTCACAGCTCCTGTCTTGTATTGAAACATCCCGCATGTGTTCCAGCGTCGGGCACTGGATCCATATGGTGATGTAAACTTTTGCTTGAATGTTTCCCGACATTTTGACATTTTCAAGAAATTGGTGTCATCGAAGGCTCACATTTACCTGATGGGACTGGAACAGGCCGGACGGGGCGTGCAAGCGCGGGGCCGGCCACCGACATCAACTTGGCGTCCTGTCGCCTCGCGTCCGCACATCTTGCAGGTCCCGCAGCTGCGGTATGAATCAGGAGGAAACGCTGAAGCATGGTGAGAATGAACAAAAAACCGGTTTTTACGGTCTTCTTGACACCAGAAATCTGTTTTATGGAGTCTTTTTTGGATGAGTTCAGCCAGTTTTCCTGATCAGCCCATCCCTACTTTTTTGTGAAAATGCAGCCCTGTGTGGAACATACTGGATATCACTAATGACCGGAACGAAACTGTGAAAATATGCTGTAATGGTTATTGTCTCCCATCATGACCTGAACAGCGCACACTTCTAAAAGGCAAGGCACGCGTCGCGATTACTTCCCACCTTTGCCTGGTGTGTCCAGATATTCGTGTGCATTACTGAATGCTTAGTCTTCTGCGTTTTATGATTATGGCAATGATATTTTTTAGATTTAATGCCAGCCGAACCGTAGACAGAGGTATGACCAATGTTAATAGCAGTGCTGAATCAGTTCCTACGCTCCATATTCTATATTTTTGCCCAGAACTTCGCCCATTAGCTCCGAACTTCCACTTTCCAAGCTAAGTACGCGTGAAGAATTAACTTTCCACACTGAGGTCCAGGTGCTCTTCGGATCCAAAGTTAAGTCCGGCAAAATGATCCCGAGAGGAGATTTCCCAAATGAATGCACCATGCTTCGGCCAAGATGGATGATGTGAAAAACTTAGCAGCAACTTTCAACTTTTTGGTTCCGCCGGGAACTCAAAGCCATTGCCGCAAACTGGGGTTCTGGCGGCTGCGAACATTATCAAATGAAGGTCGTCGTTTGCGCTGTCAGGCAAATTAACAAGTAATGAGAAGTAAGTAAGCAAGTTAACTGGGTAACTTCAAAAGTCAGTGTTGCAGGTTACAGGACGCCCCATGTTCATTTGGGATTATTGTGCCCGTAGTCATAAGAATTTTGGAGAGATTCTGACAGCCAACCGGCGCGTTTGGAAAATGGCCTCGTCAAGTGGTTCGTGCGCATTTCACAGCCTTCATATGCATTTGCGCAGTTCCGTCACCACCTTGTAACCCCACACAGGCAGAAAGTGAGACATGAATAGACCGTCACCTTTTTGGCCAACTTTTTGTTCTATCTATCATGGGGCGTCCTTTGACCTGCAACACCGGCTCTTGCGCGTTTGAACGGCGTTGAATCGATCTCGTCCGATCGGCGCCTGTTTGGTGACGGCGACGGATACATTAAATATTGCACAGATTCCGCCTCAGGAGCAGCGCCCAGCGCCAGACACGAGTGTTCAGCAGCTACGCCATGGATTCCGCTTCAGGGCTGCTTCGTGGCCATCCTGTACTGCTTCATGAGTTCCGAGGTCAAGCTGGAGCTGAAGAAGCACTGGGCGACGTGGCGCTACGCCAACATGGGCGTGTCCACCAACTCCGGCCGCAGCCGCTCCAACCACGGCAAGAGCTACAGGTAACCCGGAAAGGTCGCGGTCACCGCTCCGGCGTGATGTGCACCTTCGGTCACGCCGCCGCCAAGGGCCCGGCTCCTGCGGCGCTCCCCGTAAAGCGCTCCCTGCTCGTGGACCTATTGATCAGTCCCGCAAAGCGGTCCGATCCTGCCGCTTCCGGCGAAGCTGGCCGGTCGCGCCCGAGCCGAGTTCCCAGAGGACGCCGCCATTCCAGCTCGGTCTGTGATGTACGACCGTATTAGATTCGCAGCGGTCCCAGAGGCTCGCACCTCACCGCTTCCGGAGGCCACACAAACTGTTTTATTGTGATGAATGGCTGGAGGAGCACCTTTACCAATTCCTGGTGTGGTGAGACGTTCTGGCCTCGAGCTTTCGATGAAATTTAGTGGTACGCGACGCGTCATTAAGTTTACACCAGCGCTCGCCTACATCAGCAGGACATTAAACGGTGCACATCCAAAATGTGCTTGGGGACGCTGTTCCACAGGTGCTCACTATGGCATAGCCGCATATTGCCGCATATGAAGTGTCTAGCGGCGAATTGATGTGCCCAGTGCGTTAAATGGTGTTCTCCGTGATAATCTCGCCAGCCCTGTCTCAAAAAGTCAGCATTCGGAAGCCGTGCTAGGTGGGCGGCGTGGCGCTGACCGTGTCTGTTTGCCGCTAGAAGTATGGGCAGGAGCTCTGTGCAGAGCACTACTCTGATGGATAGGCCGTCGGAGACCGGACAGAGTCGCAACACGTCCCCGCTCGTCAGGTCTGTCACCGACAGGAGCTCACCGCGTCAGGTGAGGCGCCCTGACCTGACCTCACCTAATTTGACTCGACCCGACCCTACCCGGCCCTGCCTGACCTGACCATATCCGATCTGACCCGATCTGGCCCCGGCGTCAGCTGGCCTGACCTAGTTTGATCCATCGCGACCTGACCTGGACAGGGTAGCGCAACCTGACGCGAAGTGATCGGACTTAAAGTGACCCAACTTGACCTGATTTGACCCGAGATAGTACTAGGGAAGCTTTTCAAACAACGAACGTAAGCTGTGTGCGTGAGAAAGAACGAGAGAGAGAGAGAGAGGGGGGAGAAAGAAAGAAAGATAGAGATAGAGAGAGAGGACGAGAGAGGGGAGAGAGAGAGGGAGGGAAAGAGCGCGCTGCTTGTTATAATGTAGGCTGTGTTGGAGACATAGTATGTACGCCTTTATATGCTGAACGATCGGACCGAAGCTCCTCTTCTGAGGTAGACAGAAAATTGCGTTATTTGAACACTCATAGTTCTCCATGTGCGGGTAGAATTATGCCAAGAATCCGCCCTCAGCTCATGTGGGATTGGGTACCATGTGCCAATCCTGTTTATCATAGTTGGAGGTTGATGGAGCTGGCCTGTTTACCTACCAAGATACCAGCTGGTGAGAAGCTCAATGGAAAGTTATTTCAGAGTGGGAAAGCTGAAAAAATGGTACATGTTTCCGTGATCAAATTCAGAATCTCTGCCCGGTATGCATCTATCACTGGGTGGTTCAGGAAGGCATGACTGCTAACGAGTGGTCCAGAAGGGAATGCTTTATATATATATATATATATATATATATATATATATATATATATATATATATATATATATATATATATATATATATGTATATATATACATACATATATTTATTGGGGGCATCGGGTGTACATATTATATATATACCCAATGCTGTGTTGTTTGGGAGAGGACGTCTGTTGTGTGGCCGTGAAGAGTACCGATAGTGTTATGTGCCTGAGGGGTAAGCATGGTGTTGTGTGGCTCTGTCGCGGATGCCTGACATCGCGTGGCTCCAGTGAGCAGGCCTGGTGCTGTATGGATCTGGAAACGTCGGGCCCTACTGTGCGGTTCAACAGAATACAGATGTTGTCGCGCTCTTCGGAAAAGCACGCGCAGTGTCGTGCCAATCGAAACAAAACGTCTTCCGCTGTCTACGTACAGCTCGGGTACGGTTTGTTGGAGACGGTTGAAATATACGTCACACATGAAATACTCCATTTCAAACATGCACTACGTTTGAAGACCTGTCTAACTCGACTGTCGTGTTAAGTATTGTCGCAATTTTTGCGCGTACTTTTTGGCCTCGCTACGCTTTATCGGCGTTGCTACTTCCATGCTGATGTTCTTCAATAGTTGAGGCTCTCGACTACAGCATCCCTCATTCACAAATAGCGGCTCCTGCTGCAGGGTCCGATCGGACTTCAGCCACCTCCGCCATTAGCGTCTTTGCAAAGGCAATTTAACAGCTGCCGCCCACGCGTTTGGCTGTAACAAACTCTCGGCCTGGAACTCGCCATCTTTCACCGGTCAAGGCGTGAACATTCATCACATTAGGAGCTGAACAATTAACTATAAATGATGAAAACCCGTGGGGTCCCCGGTTCTCGTCTTATCAGTCTTCGATTCTGTGCTACTTTGCGTTGACAAACCAACCTGTTGCGTGAATCGCGCTTTTTACTCTCGAGAGCGCCCCGCCGTTTAAAGATTGCTCGCAACGGTCGAATACATGAGCGACAATCATTCAGTTAGGAGCTTGAGTGAGACCACCCACGCGAGGTGAAACTTGGTTGTACTCCTTGCAGAAAGCACATGCTAATTGTAAATAATATGAGACGATGCCCTGGATCCCACCTGTTACACATTTGATTTGTGACAACGATGTTAGGGACGTCGGTACAGGAGCGCCTAATGGATGGAACGCGTGACAGTTTGCCGCAAAGACGAATGCAAAGAACAACTCTCGACAACTCTGGAAATACGATGCATATCGGCAGCTGAGCAATATTCAGCTGCCTGCTCCTGCGCTTCAGCTACACATTCCCACAGCCCTCCGCGAACCTTGCGGGGAGCGCGTCTCTGAGCGTGCGGCAGAGGTAGGTCACCGCGGCAGGGCGCATCGGGTGGCCCGGGGCGTTTCCAGCCGGGTCCTGGCGCCGTCCTCCGCGGTTTGCCGAGTCGTCACTCAATGTCGGCCCCGGCGCGCCAGGGAGGGGCGATGTGTGCTCGGCAGGCGGCGATGTGTGCGGCTCGTCTTTCTCGGGGGCAAGGCGAGCCGCGACTGCGCCGCTCCGCTTCCGGCTCGGCTCGGCTCGGTTCTTCGGACTCGTAATCGCCTATTGGGCGGCAGGAAAGGATTGGGACGGGATGGGATACCTCTGGTCGATGGAATGTGTCAGAGCAGCCTTTGTCCACTGCCAAGGTTTCCCTTCAGCTGGTGCTTAACTGGGCCCAGAGTAAACTCGAAATGGTAGCCGAAGGAGTTGGAGTATGGAATTGCGACCGCATGAAGGCTTCTCTTGTCCATTGCGAATTCGATTGACGAGAATGAAATGTTGGTTTACTGGAAGCGGAAAGCTAAAAAAAATAGGCATTATCGTCGACCATGACGCATGCTCCCACGGTCGGCACTCACAGTTAACGGTGCAACTGTACGCCCAGAACCATCGCTTTCTTACAATAAACTTGCGAATTTTACCATTGCTTACACGTGTTGTAGAGCATTCGCAGAGCTGAGGACCAATTCCAGAGAGGACGAACTATTATGGATTTAGAGAACTGTAGCAGATTAGTTTCCCGCCTGTCTCGTGCTAAATCAAGATGCATTAACGTTCACTTCCTGGAAATGACTGAAAAGCAATTTAGCCGTGCGATTAAGCGATTAGGCTTTTTAGCCAGGGGTGACGCCTCACACACCCTCCGGACATTTCCTCTGGGACAAACAGGCATGACAGGAGGATAGAACGCTTCACGGATCCGATTAATCCGTTGATGGCGGACGGGCGTTGATCGGGACGGAGATCTGCTTTGTTGTACGAGTGTTTTTGTCTGATGACGCAGCCGTTGTCATTTATGGAGCGTGTCGTGATTTAATATAACACTATGTATTTATATATATATATATATATATATATATATATATATACATATATATATATATACATATATATACATATATATATATATATATATATATATATATATACATATATATATATATATACATATATATACATATATATATATATATACATATATATATATTATATATATATACATATATATATATATCTATATATATATATATATATTAACCCACTTCTAATGTGTAATTTTATGTTAGTTTCTTGCAACAAAAAACTTGGAAATTATACCAATGCATGGGCAGAGTGTTGAGCAGCCGTGAAGCTGGTCGCGAAGCCCGCTCCCGAAAGGTGCCGTGAAGCTAGTAATCGTAGGCAGATACGCTTGCATGATAATGATTCAGGCTGGTGTCAGGCAAGATGTCGCCAAGACACTCAGACTATCATGCCGTGCAGTGAACACAGGAGGAGGTTTTCGCAGGGAAGAGTTTTCAATGCCGAGTAGTGCTCGGGCCGATCCTCGCGGATCAGCCGGATAGTGAAAATAGTGTGTGCCTAAACTGCACTGAAGCGAAATCCAACGCGTTGAGATTGTTGGTAAAAGTTCGCGCAAGGGGTACACGATGCTTGACACGACTGCTTAGCGTCACCGGAAACTCCTAATCAACCTCACGCATACAAAATGGCCAAAAAGGCAGCATTTTGCCGAAAGTACCATGAAAAAAGAAAAAAAGAATTGCAGTCGGAACGACTTTAATAGAAACGTTTGGAAAAACGAGTTCACGTCACTTCACGTCAAGTCGCTTTAAACGCTGTCACTTCACCTCAAATCACGTCAAACGCTGTCACTTCACTTCAAGTCACGTCAAACTCTATCACTTCACATCAAGTCACGTCAACCGCTGTCACTCTGCGTCTAATCACGCCAAACACTGTCACTTCATGTCGAGTCACGTAAAATGTTGTCACGTTACGAAACGGACATTGAGCATGGGCCACCGCAAACAAGAAAAGCATGGGTCACATGGTTATTTGTTTAATTACCTTGTTATTTTCTTTTATCGCCAACAGAGCAGCATTCCACTAACAGGCGAAGTCGTTTAAATTAAGATAAAATACACACAATGCAATACGTACAGTACAATATAGATATACAAATACAATACAATACAATACGCACAGTACACAGTCGTATGAACATAAATGTAGGATGGCATATCCCAAAGCTAAGTGAAGATGCTACAGAGTTAAAGCATCGTTTAAAGCGTAAAGCGTCGTGATCGTTTAAAATCTAAAAATGCCAAAATTATCATGACATTTATCCGCACTAGTGTTCCCAACGTTTGGCAGTCTCCAAAAAAGACCGCTATGTACTGTCCGCACACAGGCGCGGGGTACAACGAGCAGAGTTCGGGTGCGGGCCGATCGAGGCGGTACAAGCAAGGGAAACAGCTAAGCAAGATTTGAGAGCTCAGTTTACCTTGGAAGATGTTTCTCAGAAAGAGCAAATCGTGCTGCACTCTTCGTGCTGCTATGGATGCGATTTTGCAATTCAGTTGACGGCTGTCATAAGAGAAGTTGTTTGCCTGGAGAATGTGTGAATAAGTAACCGAATAAGACACTTGGGCTGCACCCGATCGACCTGCACTATGTGAGAATTGGCTGCCTCCGTCCAGACCACGTTACAATAAATCGCACGTTTGCAAAATACGCAGCCATCACTGTGCTTCGGTTGAATTTTGACCTGCCGGTACTGACTTGGGTAAGAAACATAAGGAGCGAAGGTTAATTTTGTATCCAGCGTTATGCCAAGGTCCACAATTTTGCACATACGTTCAAGCTCAGTTCTATCGATAAAATACTTGGCTTGGACGGGAAGCACGCCTGAGGGTCACCGTGAATGTTTTACATTTAAGAGGGCCAAGGGTCATCCCCCATCTGACCGACCACGCCACTAGATGATCGACATCATTCCAAGGGTCAGCGCCATCTGACCGACCACGCCAACGCATGATCGACATCATTACGCAGTAGCAGGCCTTCATGTCGGTCGGCATATTCATGCAAGATGGCGCGCCCGCTCACACAGGCTGAAAGAGCCCATGAGTGGCGCCGCGCCCGCCCGCCGAACATATCCTCTAGGACAACAAAGCCATGGCCGGGCTAAAGCTCTTCGCGGATTGGATCAATCGGCGGTGGTGGACGGATGCGTCCGGCGGATTAGGCCGGGCGAGAAAACTTGGGCGGCGGCACACAGATTAGGACCGGACTGGGTTATTGAGAGGTTGTCAGGTTGAGCAGATCTAACGGATTGAAGGCTTGTTTAAAAGCACGAGGTGCTTACTGGTTTTATCATTCTCCCTGGCAACAAACCTACGATAGAAGCTTTAGTTCTACAAAGATGCTGGATTCAAGCATGGGTAATTTCAAAGCAACCCAGATTATTGATGTAAGCATGTCACTGAGTGGAATATCCAACAAACGAGGCGTTTGACAATGAATGCTATTTAATAGGTACTTGCCAGTTTATCACCTCGGTGCCGTGAAGGTGGCGGCGTGGACAGTGACTGCTTGCTAGTAATATGCCTGATACGCATTGTGAAAGCGTCATGCACAGCTTTATGATTACCGATCTGGTTCGTGGCAACAGGTAGAATTTTATTATTCATATTCTTAATCAACATTCACCCAGCGATGCCGAAAACGCCTGTACAGGTTCGCAACCATTTCAGTATGTTGTTTTTGGTATACTGTTATCGACACCAGTGAACCTTGCATAGTGCTACGCGGTCCAACTGACATCAATGGGATCTCTCTATGCTACTGAATCACTTCCATAGGTTACCTACTACGAAAGACAGGAGAAAACGAAAATACAAGCAGCCTATCCCCACTTCAGTTAAAGACAGCCCGAGCTCTCCAATAACTTCCGATTGCCAAAATCCTTGACTAATATCAACGCGACATCATAGAGGTGCACGTAGATAAAATGTGATATTTTTCTACTGCACGTCCCACACATATCGTTATACATTGTGCCCGTACTGTTCTCTTGTTGCCTTCGACAATACACTTGACCAAGCCACGTGTCAAACTATCCCTGAGCCGCTTAGTGCGTTGAGGTCATACCTGCCGTGTTTTTTTAAAGCACAGCTACCCCAAGAGACCTACAATCTGTCCCCCCCCCCCACATCGATTTTCTATTTATAACGAATCATCTCTGAATGATGCGAAGACCTGTCTTTATGTTATTACCTATGATTCGTTTTATTTAAGCATTCTGCGGATTTTAAAAGAATAAAAAGCAGTGTTATAGCCGTCGGTAGTACCAATGGCCTGATTCCTCGTTGAATAACTAGGACAACAAGTTTTTTAAGCTGTTGGATATGTGTAATGCCCGTTCTACCACTGACGTGGAATTTCGCGATCGGATGACATGGGTCAGGGCTCACGCAACAAGCACTGCTTAGCGTGAGCTCTGGTCCCAGTCTTATCTATTTTCCAATTAAATCCTTTTAATTATTTCCTCGGTTCGGATTAAACCTGCATAAAAATGTGTTGTAAGAATGATGCATTTTGCAGTCCAGGTATTTGTAACTTTTGGTTGATGTGAAGATCTCTGTCATTTGACATTGGGTATCACCTCGAAAGGTTATCTTCAGAGGTCAGGTTTTTGGTCAGAGGTTTTTGAAAGGTGCTTCTGTCTACGCTGAAAAAGATTCTGATGCTTAAAAATCCGAAATCAGCCGTAAATTATGGGTGATATGGTCTTCCCTGTCATCTGATATTCAAGAGCGACCTGGAAAGGTCAGTATTTGTTGACGGATTCTGGTTTACGCTCTGAAGATCAATCTGACGTTTATCAGCTGATGATTTTTTGACATAGAGTTCCCTGGTATTTAACCATGAAGAGTGACCTCGAGACATGAGAAATACCGAAGGACGCTGGTTTGTATGCGGATGAATATTATGATGCTTAAAATCCCAAGTCAACCGGTAACTCTTGCGTGATGTGGAGAACCCCATTCGAGACAAGCTAGCTCATTCGCTGAAATCGTTCAGTGGTCTTTGTGCGATGCTAAATTTCCCTTCTATGACCTTGCATTTGACCTTTAAAGGATGGTCTTGAGGGGCGATGACTTCTTTCGGACGCTGTTTTAGGCGCTGAGCACGATTATAGTCCTTAAAAATCCGAAAATAGCCGCTTTCTTTTGGGTGATATAGATTTTGGGTGAAAATGATTTATTAAGTTGGCTATGAATCTGATCTTGAAGAGAAAAGTGTCATTGAAAGGTCAAGACTATTCGACGGATGCTATACCATGCATAAGTTAAAATTCTTATGCTTAAAAATCCGAAATTTTCCGATAACTCTCGGGTAATATGGACGTCCTCGGCACTCGACCTTGATTTTGACCTTGATGTTAGGGCTCAAGACGATTATGATGCCTATCGGCCGACAAATTTGGTTGAGATGGAGTTCGCTGTCCCTTGACCTTGAATGGTGACACTGAAAGGTCGGGAATTTTGACGGACGTCGGTTTAGGCGTTGATGAATATTCTGATGCATACAAATCTGAAACCAGCACAAAACTTTGTGGTGATATGTAGATTGCATTTCGGTCTGAAATTTTACAATAAGGGGTGATCTCGAGAGGACGGGACGTTTTTAGGGTCTCTGGTTTTGTTTTGTTTTTTTTTTTTTGCTAGGTTTTGCGCTTAAGACGGTTCCGGTGCTCAGAAATCTGGAATCAGCCGGTGACTTTTTTAGTGATATGGAGTTGGCCATCACTTGCCCCTAAATTTACCCTAAGTGTTTTCCGGGGAGGTGAGAGCTTTTTTAAGCCGCTCTTTTGTCGCTGAAGATGATTCTGATGTCAAACCTTTCGGAGGCGAATTAGCCGAAGACAATTCTGGTACTTAAAAGATCTGAAATAGGCTGATAATTTTTGGGCGGCATTGAGTGCCTGGTCATTTTACGCTAAATTTGACCCTGGAGGCCACGTGCTGTTGAATATTGAATGTCATATACAGTGCCCTCGTGCCGTTTTTAATTATCTGGCGTGTTTTCATCGAAATCTGAACACATAACTAAATAAATTGCTTATTTCACGGACGTACATAACCCCACCTTCTCTCGCTCAACCGAGTCATAAAACTCCTCATGTGAAAGAGTATGTACACCCCGCTATCTGACGAGACAGAGACACAGAGGCGCCCTACCAAACGTGTCCCACCTGTTGCCGCAGCTCAGCGTGGCCGAGCCCATCAAGGAGGTCAGCTGGGAGGAGTCCCGGGCGCCAGCCGACATCGCCCCGCCGGCCGTGGTGGAGGCGCCGCCGCAGTCGGCCGCCCTGCTCGTGCGCTACGACGGTCTCAGCGGCGGCTCGGTCCACATCGAGGCCGCACCGCTGAACGGCACCAGCGATGGCAGCCCGCCGCGAGCCTGAGCGCGCCAGGCTCGCGGCGGGCGCGCCACAATTGTGCCGTCCGTCGGCCTTTGACGTGCGATGTGACGCATATCCTAGCGTGGTGTTTGGTGTTACTGACTTCTTTTGCTGGCAGCGAAGACGCATGACATGTTTTGCAGTGATTCTGTTGTTGCTTGCTGGCCCGGCCCGTGGGCAGCGCTTGTTTCAGGAAGTGGATGCCCAACCCGAACTGAGTCCTTAAAAACCAGTCTTTTAGGTCCCTGTCCATGGTTGTGTCCATCGTGTGTGGCACTGGAAGAGTTATGTCAAGAACTCTTTATGACTAGGATCGTCTTAATCTAATCCCTATAAACTTCTTGACCCAACCCGCCACCCTAGGTTATACCGTTCGCGATCAGCTTCCTATCAGTCATAACCACCTTTTACCACCAGCTTACTGGATCCTGAGGCTTTAGATTAAGCTATAGAAGAAGTTACGGAGGCTCTGTATTTGGATTCAGTCGCTTTACCTTGCCCCCCTAGATTCAGAGATTGCAGGATTCATAGATTCACTTCTTCGGCTCTTCATAACAAACGACTGGTGTTCTCCACCTAGAGACCGTCGCGGTTCTGGTTTCCTGTAACCAATCCACCCATACTCATGGGATTGTCCGTACCCACTTGCTGCCCATTCGCGATGAATAGGAGCAGCCCCTTACACACCCGTTTGCGCTTCTCCACCACTTAGTTTTAAATTATGGAGGAGATTCAGGAAAGGCTATACCCAAACCTATCCACATCCAAACTACCCAAACTGCAGTAATGGAAAAAGTTGCGTGAATCCAGGAAGTTATGTCCAAAAGAAGAGAAAACCAGCGACAAGGTGTATATTTTCTTGAACTACCGATCCGACAAGTAACGTCTCACCCATCCCACAATTGTAATTTTCCCAAAAACTGTACCCAACCTCAACCCGTTAGGCAGTCCATATGGGTACCCATGGGTTTCCCCAACCAGGTAAGTTTTCTACCTTCACCCTTGGTATAGGCTCTCTTGGTATAGGCTTGGTATAGGCTCTCTAGTTGTCTTCCAAGCCGACACAAAATTACGGCCGGGCTTTTCCAAAGAATGGTGATTGTTGTTGACCTACGAATGCGTCATGTCATGAACATTCATTGATATGAAAGTCCAGTCATGGTAATTCGTAATAGGGACTTTTTAAAAAAAACTGTCAATATTTTTTGTCACTGAATGTTGACGGTAATCAGAAGCCGGCTTCAAGTGAGAATGTGTATTTCTCTTGTCTTCGTATTCGGAAGGTTCTGTAGGCACCGTGTTAGTGAAGGTCACGTAAGATTCAAAAGCAGAGCAAGGAACATTGAAATTTAAGAATAAATTCCTGGTTCAATTGAATAGAAGACCGTATAATTTTGACACTACTGTTGTTGTCCTTTTCTATACTCCGGCTGTGCAGAGCCGCATTGTGCTGGGGCCTCGTACGTAAATGCTGCACAATGCGTTCCTGCATTGCCGGTGTATGGAAAAAAGGAGCACCTGGCATTAGCGTCGTACTATGTCGTACTATAATACCCCAATACGGACGTGGCACAAAGTGTCGGTACCAAAGGAAACCATGCAACACGTAACCGCTGTGGAGCTCAACGTTGGGTTCGGTTTCGGTATTTTAATATTCAGGTAGATATATTTAAATATTGTATGGAAATGTCTGGGTCCTTGCTTTAATTGTCCAATACAGTGCAATGCGACTGTATGGCGGGTGAGACGAACTTACACAGCTATTCAATGGGGGTCTGATCTGGGGGATACGGGGTCAAGGAAAAATGTCATCGATGAGATTGGCGTTGGAAATCGTTGTCGCTTGTCACATGCGCACACAAAACGTCTTAAAGGATTGGGTGGAGCGTATTTCGCTCATTCAGGTCAAGCACTTAACGGCCGTTGCCATGCTACTAAAAACGTCTAACTTGCTAGCGTCTTATAGTGTCTGTCCGGTTAAAAATGGTGTTCTACTCCATTGTTCCAAACGTTTTTGGACGCGACAGACACCGTCAAAAATAGCCATGTGGACTGACTCGTCAGAAATCCGCCGATGAAAAAAACTGGCAATGGGTTAGCCGATGCTATTCTTATTAACATGACAACCACAAGGATTGCTGTAAGACATCATAGAACTCTGCAAACTTATCCTCAACCGTGGCGCAATACATGAGTGTAAATTTTACCACTCTGTTCGCAGCAGAACACTTCGTCGCCAATCACGTCACTGCAGCCTGTTTTATGGCATACTCACAATCACCATAAGGTGACGACGTTTTTAAGTGATGTACCAGGCGCGTCGCAAAGATCTTATCCATACACGTAGTTTTCTCTCCAAGTACCTACAGTTTCCCCTCCTAGCGCGTGGCTTATTCTATATGGGTGCCCGCGGTTTACCGATCCGTGATGTTCTCTCATTGTGCCCACGTGAGTGACGCAGCCTGTTAGCCTCGGCGCTACAACTGCAGCTGCTCATGCGGTTTGTGACAGCAGGCATCGTTAAAAGAAGCGTGCGACGGAGCACGTGTTATGTAAAGCACGCCTCGGCGTGGTGCTTGCGAAAGCCAGATCGACTGGGGAGAGCGTGACAACTGCAGCTGTCCACGTGGCTTGTGACAGCAGGTATCGTTGAAAGCGGCGTGCGGCAGAGCACGTGTTATGTAACGCACAGGTCGGCGTTATGCTTGTGAAGGCTAGATCGGCTGAGGAGAGTGACCCATTGCACCGCATTTGTCTGTGTTTTTGCGGCGTTCATCATGGTAGCAGTTGGAGGTGTTCGCGCAGTGGAGCGGTGCCTGTGATGACGGTTGGATATCGCTTCGCAACGCACCCCTGCACACCAAGGTGTTTGCGGCACCGATGACAGGGAAATACGGAAAACTGGCTCTCGATGTTATCATTGTATCGATTCAATACAAGATTTGTTTTCGTCATGTGGAACGCTCATACGTTATGTCTCGGTGATGGGTGCTGAAGGTAGTCTTCCGACACCACTTACTTGACGTGCTCGCCTCGAGGTTAAAGCGCGACCGGAAAACGCAGCGTCTTCAGCGCGAGGTCCCACATTACTTTGGCGGGATGTGTGCTTATTCATGATCGGTACAGGTTTGTTTGTATAAATTATCCAAGGCTGCTCTAAAACTTAGGAGCAAAAATCTGAAAAGCGTCCGTTACATTCGAAATCTGAAAAAGGATGCAAAAGTTGGGATAAAGTTGCATTCGTTTATCCTTCTCTGACGTGGAAGACGAAATCATCTGCACTTCCCTATGTTTTTCCCGCATTTCCCTATGCTTTTTCTCCGCAAGTGTGGGACCAGCGTCGTTCCACTACCTCACCTAAAGAGCGTTCTTGGTGAGTTTCTAGGGTTTTGCTAGAATGTAGAAGCTCAGTGTTCCCTTACGCGGCTGGCTAATGCGTATATTAGTATGTACACATTGGCCAATGGTCTATATCTTTATTGTCGGGTTTGTAAGAGGGGCCCGTAAATGTCGGAATTTTCGGACGTATCGCGAGCGCAAGGACCCTGTCGGCGACAATTCAAGCTGTCGCCAGACTTAGCGCGTGGCACTGACCGGTCAGCTGGCAAAATGTCGTCGCGATCTAGCCCTGGCGGCCGGAAGGTCGTGTTCACGAGATTGGCCCCGATCCATCACTGGATTTCCGGGCGCGGGGCCCGCTCCTTCCACATTCATGTGTCAGGGTCGCAGGTTCAGTCATATTTGAGCCGCAAACGGAATGCCATAGCCATAGCGCTCTCAGTTGTCTGTGAGAGAGAAGCAAACGTTATTGCAACGCTATCCGCCATCTGAAGAGCACACGAACATGCTTGCCGTCTTGGCAGTAAATGAAAGGCAGAAACCTCTGGATACCTAGATGTTCGTTGCCTTAATCTAGCGAACGCGTAGAAACCCAGCTCACAAGCTGCAACGTCCACTGAGAACACCCGTCACAAAACCTACGTCGCCGATAGCGAAGTCAGCTCGTCCCCGTGTGAACCAGTTAGTGCTCGACCAGACGGTGATCAGGAAATGAACCATTCATCGAAAGTATGTTGATCAAAGACGATCTGAACTGATTCAGGCGAAAGCGAAAGGTTTTAATTGACAGTCGAGTTAAATTAACAAGATTTCGATTTTCCAATGGGTCAATAATTTCAGTATGACGCCAACATTTTCATGTCTCAACAGCGTAAGACGCCAGGGTAGAATCAAGAACATAATATCCAAACAACGCGTAAGCGTCGATCTCTGATGCCATCCGTTGACGCTTAGTCAGCCGGCCGGGCCGAGAGGGCCGTCGCCTGTAGCGTCGGTATCATGTTCACAGCCATGCCAACGCACACCAACAAACAGCTTCCTGCCGTCCGCGCCCGGTTCCTTTTTCTCTCTCTCCACTCTGTCTGCCTCTCTCTCTCTACTACTGGCTGTCTACTCAAGAGTAGATAGCCTGTCTATTTTTGAACACCGCCATGTTCACTGGACCAGTCTCCTCTCGAAAGCCGCCATGTTAACTGGCCCAGTCTTTTCCCGAAAGCCGCCATGTTATCTGGGCCAGTCTTCTTCCGGAAGCAACCATGTAAACTGGGCCAGTCTTTCTCCGAAAGCCCCCATGTTAACTGAGCCAGTCTTCTCCCGAAAGCCGCCATGTGAACTGGGCCGGTCTTCTTCTGAAAGCCGCCGTGTTACCTACAGTGAACTTAAGCTCTATCCTTCTGCTTCAAAATAAAAAGCAAGACAGAGTCAACGGTCCGTGGGAAAATACGCACGATCCGTACCGTGTCGCCGTAATAGAGCGGTAGCGCGCGGGTGTATGGCCATCGATCAACCCGCCCATGCTCTACGCTTGGTCGCACATCTCGATCGCGGATCGTATAACTATTTGGATCATCGTTATTGTCTTGTGTGTTAGTGCGCACACAGGTTTCGACCAGTTAGTTATCCAGCCACTATCAAGTGTCGGTCAAAATCGTATAAATGCCACC